TACTTTGATAATTGCAAACATTTCTTATTTATAACTATGGATTATATAAAATTTAAGAAGCTATTCTATAATTCAATCTTAGTAAGAGAATTAACTAAAATTGAACATAAGATAATATTTATTTGAAAGAAAACTAATAAACAGATTAAAAAGATGCTTACATAAAAATAATATTACCCTAAAATTGTAGGGTTATAAAAGTAAGGTTAAAAATAAATGGACCGGAAAGTATTCTAGAAATAGAATAGTGTATAATATATATAATAAATAATTTAATTACATAAATGGATAAATCAACAAAAATAATAAAAAGAGAACAGAAATAACAGATTAAATATTAAATGAAATAATCACAATTGTTAAAAATGAAATAAAAAAAAAGAAATGATTTTGGGTGACAATTAAAAAGCAAATGTATTGTGTCAAAAATATGGAAAATGGTGGTGCTCTGTTGAATTTAGATCTAAATTATTTCATTTTTTCATTCATATATTTAGACGAACAATATAATAAAATCGACTTACTATATTTAAATCAGCACTACTTATAAAATTGGGACACAAAGATATTGCAAGATAATTATTTGAGCGCTTATTAAAAGTAAATTTAATGTTATGATATTTTTTTTTTTAAATGTAAATAGAGGGTTGAAATAATTATTTAAAAATAAGAATTAATTGAATAAAATTAATGAGGATAAATTAAGTTATATGAGCATCTCTTTGAATTTTCATTAAGATTTATAAATGAATCGTAAAATTACAGTCTTATCTTATTGTAGCATTACTACACATAATCATAAAAGAATACTAGCATAATAATTATCAGTAAATTTAATATATGTCGTTTAAATCAATAATCATAATCAAAATAATTAATAGTATTTTAGTAAGTTTAAGATTTATTTGATATTAATTCTATAAGATTTTTTATAATGAAATCAAAGAAAAATAATAAAATTCATTAAATCATTGTTTCCATAAGTATTTTTATGGAAAGAATTTAGCAATACCTGTAAATAATTATGTTCATGATGCATCATTTTCTTTTCTTTGGATATTAAAATTTAATAATAAAGTTTATTTTAATCTATTACTTATTAAACAAATTAAATTTGAATTCATTATCAAAATAGTATTAATTTAAGATGGTGTATGAAAATATAATTGATTAGGAGTTAAAATGAATAAAATTATTGTGAAATTGATAATAATAGATACAAAAACTTTATATTATAATATAATATATCTTAATGATTTGGAGAATATTGAATGATTTAAAATTATTATCAATCAGCCTTAAGTTTAATAAATTAAGATAGTAGAGAAGGTAGAAAAGTGGGATTAAGATTATTTTTCTATATAATTATTTGTTTAAAGTCCGTTTTTATTAATATTAATAAAATAATGAAAGCTATCCTCATATTAGGCTTGTTAGTTTTTGGGATTACTGCTGTCGAATTAGAAGCAGGAGTGCCAATTTTACTAAAAGAGATCAAAGCAATCAAGACTGATCATACAGATTTCACATTTTTATTAGATTTAGAACTCAGCTAAGGAGGAAAGGTCTCTGAAGTAGTTGCTTTAGTTGGCGATTTGTTAGAATAGATGAAAAGAGATTAATTAAATGATGATCTTGAATATGCTCATGTATATATTGAATAAATATATTTTATAGAGAACAACTACACTTGGATTAGATATTGAATGGCTTATTATTGTTTTAAGAAATCTTACAAAGGAGAGATAAGATAAAAATAATTAATTAAGTGAAGTAAATCAAGTTCTTGTAGGATTATAATTGTAATTGGATGCAATCACAGAATAATTAAATATATTGAATGGAAAGGAAGAGTAACTCAGATAAACAAGAGCTTAAGAAGCTGCTTCATATTAAGCCAGATAGGAAAATAATAGTAAAGTATTAGCAGCTTTGAATGAAATCATTCCAAAATTATAAGTTGCTGTATTTGACTAAGAAGGAAAATCATTATTGTAAACAGAATAATTTGAAATTGTTGAAAAAATAAAGAGAGAATTAGGACACAATCATCCAGTTGCAATTATGGTTGCTTTGACAACAAAATTTGATGTTCCAACAGTGAAAAGAATTATTGATAAATTGGAGCATATTAGAAATGCAGTAATTGCCTTGATGTAATAAGAAGATGAATAAGAGACTTAAAGTCAAGTATTATTTTGATTTAAATATTTAAGATCACTTTCTAAACTTAAATTTAAGAGATTGCTGAGTTAAGAGAGAAGTTTTCTAAAGATTTTGAAGTCACATCCTAATTGATTAAAAAGAGAACCAATGATAAAGTAAATGATTTTATGATAAAAAGGTTCTTTTAGAGAAGAGATTGACAATAATTAACAGAGATCTAAGCTTGACTGAATAATTACTTATATAGACTAGAGAATATAAAGAATAATATGATGCTGCTTATGCTGTTAGAAAAGGAAAAAGGTATATTATTAATCTTATGATTCTAGAATATCTGAAATCAAAACAGTTTAGTAAGCTTACGATTTAGTAGAAAATCATTCTAAGAAATAAAAATGATGATTTAAAATAAAATATATTTTACAATTATTTTTACAATCAATCATCTTAAAATCATAGATATTTATAAATTTTTATTCATGTGCTTACCTCTCAAATTTATATAATTGTTTATCAGAATAAATTGCTTTTGCTTGATTATTTTGGGGATTATAATGATCTCTTAAGTATTTATGACTTTGAATGAAAGTCTAAGCAATGATGGTGATGTAATCATTAAACAAATTAATATTAGGGAATTGTTTTTACATTTTCAGTTGGACTTGCAGTTATTATAATTGGAGCATCTGGATTACTTAGTTCATATTGTCCTAACTTCTCTATCATTTTTATTTATTCTTGCTTTGTTATTTTTATTGGAGTTTTGGCAGTTTATATTACAATTACATTGACTGTTTTAAAAAATTAGTTATTAAGTAATAAATTTGATTGTAAAACATCTTAATTACCTGCTGCTTAAAAAACAAAAGAATAAATTTTATGGGCAGAAACATAATTTTGCAAATATGACTGTATTTGTTATATTGAGAAAATCTAAGATTGGAATCCTGATTATTTAGAAAACAATCGTATTTAATACACAACAAATAAAGATATTAGTGATATAATATAATACTAAAAATGCAAAAAGTGGATTAAAATTGATGGGGCATCAAATACATACATTGCATCTTTAGAAGAAAAATATAATTGTTCAGGTTGGTGTAAATCTCATCCAGTCTACCTTTTTTCAAACATTAATAATGGAATCCCGTATTTAAATATTTAATATAAGAAAAGATGCTTGCTATCCATATTTTGAATAAGAATACGAATATTATGTGAACAAATCCTATCTAGATTATTTGATTGTAGATTTCCTCTATCTTTTTAATTTATGTTTTGCCATTTGCTAGTGCTATTAAACAAGCAGAAATAAAAAGTCTAGAATCTATCCACAGATATTTTATGAACTTGCCTTATAATGAAATATTTAAAACTACACTTCGATATCAAATGAAAAATGATTTAAAAATATCTTTTAAATAATATTATTTATATAAATTACTAACCTAAATATATTTTTAAATATTAATCAAATTATAATTATTGTATTTTTATTTTAAAAAGTCCAAAAATATTTTAATGATACATAAAAAAGATAGCTTATTATAAGCGTTTCCTTTAATTAAATCATCTTATCATTCTCAAGTATAAATCCTAATTAAAATATTTATATTACAAACTTTTTAATATATAAGATTAAATAGTTTGCATTTAAGCTATGTAATTGAATAAACTTTGAAAAAAAATTCTATTTTAGCAAAAAAATTTATTTAATCTATCTCATAGAAATAGACTATATTTGGTACTTAAACTTATAAAGTATCAAACCAATTATTAATAACGCCTTTTGTATTATAAGGATTAAGTTAAGTATCTCTATTTTTTATGAATTCTCCTAAATATTAGTGCAAAATATTCCCCTATAATTTTTATTAAATTTTTGGATCTAAGATGTTAATGATTCTCTAAGATATGATACATTCACCCAAAAAATTGTTCTATTTTTAAAAAACCATTAGGCTTCATTTTATAAATAGAAAATTCAATCTTCAACAAACCGATGATAAATAGATTGAAACTATTTGGGTTTTTATATAATTAACAATTATTTTATTTTTTAAACCCTCTGGTATTTTAAACTATTTCATTTATTGATGATATTTACATTCTTTTAGTTTAATATGTACTTAGTTTTCTCCTCTTTTATCTTTAGGCTATTAGGAGAAACTTTAAACTAAGTTGAATATGAGAAAATCTTCAAGTCTTGTGATTTTTTTTAACTTCTAGTGTAGACAAATATTTCTTTTGTAAAGCTAATAATATTTTTTTCTAGAGCTTTCTAAATTTCTATCCTAATATCATGCCTTTTTATTAATTGTAATTTTTTGAGGAATTTGGTTAAAGTAAAAGGGTCTTAAATATTTTTCTTATGAAAGGTTTATCTTAAGAATTGAATATAAAATTTAGATTTTTAAATTCTACTTTAGTATAAACTTTTAAAATAACTTTTTTTGATTAGATTGAATCATATTGAATCAGAATATAAATTTGCAAATATGTGTATAAGGAATTTTAGAATTTAAAGCACAACTTTAACGTTTTTATTATTCGATTTTATTTAATCACTTTAGAAAGTTATTGAATTAGTGATTACTCAAGCTAATACATAATTTAAAATTATAATAATATCGTTGTTAGTTCATTTTTATTAAAATATAATTAAAAAAAATAAATGTGAAGTTCTATTAAGTTGATGCGTTTTTTAATTAAGTTATGAGAAAGTTAATTAGATAGAATATCTATATAAAAATATAAATTTGCAGATTAATTTTATAATAATTATAAATTTCGAGCCTTATGGGTTTATGTTAAGGAAAAAAAATGTATAAGGTTGATAAGATTGTCGTTAAAGATAATAAATCCAGTGAAAATTTATGTGTATTGAATGAAAATATAGTAACATAAAATGAGAATGGAAAATCTTAACTACTCATTTAACAAATGAAGTCATAAATAGCTTCATGTATAAATTATAGCTAAATTGAAAGTGAAATAAATTTACCAATAGGAGAGGGATATCTTGAATGGACTTGTAAATAATAATAATGATTTTTAGATCAAGATGGTTCAAGATATGAAGGTTTTTGGAAAAAGATGGCTCCAAATGGTTAAGGAAAACTTTGGATGGCAAACGGGGACATTTTTGAAGGACAGTTTGTTAATGGGTTACTTGTATAAGGGTCTCATATTTCAGTAAATGGAAATACTTATAATGGAGAGTTTGTAGATGGATTATATCACGGATATGGTCAAATAATTGAGTAAAGAATATATTATGAATATATCAATATAGATTCTTAGGTGATACTTATAGTGGATAATTCGTTAAAGGGATGAAATAAGGAAAAGGAATAATGAAAAAAAGTGATGGAACAATGTATGATGGTGAATGGAATTAAAATATTTAGAGAGGGTTTGGTTTATGTGTATGGAAAGATGATAGTGTAAAATAATATTATAATTTAGAGATACGAAGGATAATGGGAAGAGAATCTTATGCATGGACAAGGAACATATTATTGGAAGGGTAGAAAATATGAAGGTTAATATTATTATGGATAAAAACATGGAAAAGGTAAATATTACTGGAATTCTAACACTTATTATGATGGAGAATGGAGTAATGGAGTGTAAAATGGAGAAGGAATTTTAGTGATTAACCAATAAGTTGTATAAGTAAATAATAAATAATAAAAAGTATTTCTTAGTCTGGAATTTGGAAAGCAGGAGTGTTTTAGTAAAAAAAGTGAAATATCCAAATATTCTTAAAAGACTTAAGAGAATTATAAAATATTTGATATTTATTGGTATATAATCAGTTTTAGTGTTGTTTTTAGTAGAAATGTGTTTGGCATTACAGTGAGAGATCTTATTCATCCATTAAGTGCTATTTAAATTACTATAACCTTTATCTTAACCTAGAAGAATTAAAATTTTAATTACTTTTATATTTTGTCAATTTTTAGAAAGAGAACTCTATCTAATTCATCAACATAATGTTCTATAATAGAATTCGGTTGATTGAAAATTTAGAGTAATTTTATGTCTTCTTTAACTAAATCAGCAAGATCATAAATATGATTACGATGAACAGTTTTAAAGCTCTTTCTTCTTTAAGTATTTTTTAAATTAATTCCATGATGTTCATCTTTTATATTAGGTTTTTGATTTAGTATTTAATCAATAACTTAATCATCTTTTCAATCATAATCAAATAATTTCGGAGGTGAAATAGATTTAGAATCAAGAATCTAAAATATTATCAAATAAATGATTATTCAAAATATATTATCTTGGATGCATCAATTCTTTAGCTAATTAATCAGGTGTATTAGAAGATTATGGATATCTTAATTCCTTAACCTTCAATACTATCTGCATATCTCAATGTCTCTAAACTATGTTCTGTCCAATCATTAAAGTTCTACAATTACAAGTAAAAGAATCTTTCAAAACTTAAGTGAATTTTAATCCCCTAAAAGGAGTATAATTTTTATTAAGATCTAAAGCTCTAATACATTCATTTAATGCTTATAAGATTTATTTATTTCAGCTCCATCTATTCTTGTTTTTTTATGATATTCTACAACATCTGCACCTCTTTCACTCAAATCTATGAATCATAACTTTCTAGTTATTTTATTATTTAAGATTTATTTTTAATATCCATGTGATCTTGAAGAATTTTAATTTACACTATTTTAAGCTATCACTCTTAAAAATTTCTATAAATTATTAACTTTTTATACTGATATGCTTTTTTATTTTTTATTTATATATATATGTTTTTATCAAGTTATCTTAAATTTACTGTAATTCTGCAATATTTACTTAACCTTTTGCATCTTCTCTAGCAACCAATTATAATCGATCATTCAAAAGATCAAATAACTTTGAACAATATATTTCATAAAAAGAAACACTTAAGTATATGGAATTTGGAATCAATTAAAATAAATCAAATGCTGCAAACCGAATTTCATGCAAGATAATTGTATTTCCATCATCTTCAATGGTATTTATAATTTCATAATTTGGCATCCCAGCACAAATTTTCTATTTCATTTAAATCCATTTTATTCAACCACTCTTCTTTTTAATATAAGAGATCGACTCAAATTCATCTCCTTCTACACTTAAATCCGCTAAGTATCACGTTCCATTTTTTCTAACGCAATAAACTTTAGAGATGACACTTTAGAATTATTAAAATTAATATCTGATTTCATCTATTAACTTTTATTAGCAAAATATATATATGTGCACCCTAACAACAACTTCCTATAATATCTATTAAATATACAGCAACATTACTTTATGGAAGATTACTTATTATTTTCATTCCATCTGGATCAAAAATTAATATTTCTTTCTCTATTATATTACTGTAAAGACATAATTATAATGATATAACATTGATCCCTTAAGATTACTAATACATAATTTCTAAACTCTTTCCATTACTAAATTATGTAGTTCTAGTTTCTTACCTAATTCTAAAAGGTTTTTCCATTTCTATATCTATGATCTTTTCTAATTCTATCTTTAGGTATTTCATCATTATATATCTCAATTTCTTTTAATATTTGTATTTGATCCAATTTTTAAATATTTATTAAATTATTCTCTTTATTTACTAAAACTAGCTCACATTCATAATGTTCAGAAAAATAAAAACAAGCTTCAGGATAAATACTATATATATTTTATAAATTCTGTATATTGTATAATACTAACTGATAAGTTATGACTATTAATACTATCCATGAAAGAGCGAAACCATTCTTGGAGCATTGAAACCTATTGTATTTACAGCACTCATCTAACTTATTTAATGAGTTATTAATGCCTTTGTAAAATATATTGATTCATTCTAATAATCTTAATAATTCCTTCTACTATAATATCTATAAAATGTCTTGCCATTAATTATTTTTTCATTTTACTTAATATTAGATGTTCTATTTATTTATCTATTTCATTAAGCATTATTTCATATTTGTTCTTAATAATATGAAATTATTTTTTATTATTTTTTAATCAATTATAATTTTAAACATTCTATTTAATATTCATTAATATTAAATTATAATATGTAATTTTGTAGAATATAAAACATTTTCTTTTTTCTGGAAAATTTATTATTTTATTTTTCGAAAATGAACAATAATGATTTATGCGAATCAATAGTCAATAATGCAAATCGTATCTACTAATTGCTTGCCAATCTTAATTCATAATTAAATGAAAATGGTAGCTTAGGTAATTTTTATAAAATTATTGTTTTAGTTAATCCATAAACTACAACTTCAGTGACCTCCTTTCAAGGATTTACATCAATATTCTTTCTTTTGTTTTTGGCTTATGCAATTTTAACTATAATCTCTCCAAGAAAATAAATATTATCTACAAAAGAATAATTTAATGGATAATAATAGATAAACCAATATGAAGATGATTGATAAATATATGTATTATAATAAAGAATCTCATAAATCCATAATTAAGTTTTAATAAATTATAAATCAATCACGTTCTTTTTCTTTCGCTAGAAATTTATCAAATTCCTACTTAAATTATTATAAAGTTTATAGTTCATCCTTAATAAAATTCAAATATTTTTCTATCTTCTAATTATCAATTTTTTTTTCTTTTTTACGATTTCTTTATTGTTCAGTAACATTATCACTATCTTTACCAGATAAGAGTATCCTTTTAACAATTTTATTTCTTTATTTTAAAATATCTTTCATATTTTATATTCCATGAATAACTTAAATATATTCTTTTTAAGTAGCTTCATTTTAATTTTATGTTCCTTCAATTTCTTTATGTTTTTAATCATTCTCATCATTAATTTATTAGATTGCAAGTTTTAATTTATTATATTTAGCATTGAATTCATAGGTTTCAGCTTAAATTTTACTATTTAACTAAACTTTAAGAAAAGAAGAATACTTCATTAAATTATTGATTAATCTAATCTTTTTAGTTTTCTCTTAGTTCTCTGTCTTTTTTAAATTCTTCTTCTTTTTTCTTTAATCTTTCATAACGATCAATTAATTCTTTAATTGCATTTTCATCATCATTTTATCCAGTTTCCAATTCTTTTGATTTAGAGATAACTTTCTTAAAAAATTGTTCATATTATTAATGATTCTTTCTTCTAACTTCCAATTAATTAACTTCTTCTCTAAAAAATAAACAATTTTATAATACTGTAACTTAGCTAATTCATTTAAAGCCTATGCTTTTTCTTATTCTTTAGCTAATGTAATTTTTTATTCTTTTGCATATCTTTCATCATCTTATCTTTTTTTTCTGTCATTTAACATTACAACAGAGTCTTTTTTACTTTCCAAATCTTAATTCATTCTTTTTTATTCATCATTAAATTTTTAAGCCTCAAATGCTAATTATTCTTATGTTTCTTCCATTTTTTTTTTCCTATCTTTATATTCAAGATCAACAGTTCTTTCCTTCTATTAAACTTTTAATAGTCTAGTATTTTAGGATTCCTCTTCTAATCTCACTAAAAAACATAAGACAAGTATATTAATACTTTCTTCTAATCTCTTTTTATTTGATTGCAATTCTTTTTCTATTTTTTTGAATCTCTAAGGATTGAAAACTTATAAATTTTATCCATATGACATTTTATAAAAAAAATAATTGAATTGAATATAAAAATATGAATTCCTTATTTCAAGGATAATATATTTAAACTTTAAAGATGCATTTAATAATAAATCATGCAAGTCCTTCTAATTCTAATCTCATAGGAATAATTTCACTATTTACAAATCTAGCTATTTCTCTATAATTGTAATATCTCATCAAATTTTTTAATTCCTAAAATTTAATAAACATAAAATACTTCAGAACTCTTATCAATAACAGATAACATCATATCACAAACTTCAATATTCTTTTTAATAATTTATTTTTCTCTCATTGTCAACATAATTATATGTCTTCTAAATTCAGGAGTAGATGGATCATTTAATCTTCTTTAATCATCTTCTATAGTACTAGCAAAATTAGCTAATTCAGAAATTAATAATTCCCTAAAAGCTTTAAATGTAGCTTTCTCTAATTCAATAGTTTTAGGTGTAGTATGCCATCCTGGCCAAAATTAATTATAATTTTCAACATCCTCTTCTAATTACAAGAAATCATCTAATTTAGATATTTAAGCAAATCTAACAGTAGCCAAAGATTATCTAAATGTATCATGATCAGTTTCATTAACTAATCTATTTCCCCAACAAATATTCCCTCTAGTTAAATCAATTTTAAGATTAAACAATCTATCATTTCTATCCAAACAAACATCAAAATCAAATTAATTCATTGGATTAGTTAAACTAGCAAATCCATAGTTCATAAAAAAATATTTATTTGACCATTAACCATAATTATAAAATAGTTCTTCTCCTTTTTAGATATTTCTGACTGCTTACATAAAGAATCCATCAGCATCAGGAGAATACCCATATTATAAAAATCCATTATTATCATGATTAATAAAGTCTATAATAAATATTAAATTAAATACCAGCTAATGGAACTAATAATTATTATTGTTCATTTTCACCTATATACACTGGAAAACTACGAGAGATAGTAAGAATTCTAAATTTAATAAAATCATTATAAGTATATCCATATCTTTAGAATTCTTTTACTGCCTCTTTTAAATTATCATATTCTTCTCTAAATATTTTCCTTTAATTCATAACTGTATATAAAGTTGGAGATCCTTTCAGTAATGCATCTTATTCTGCATCAAAATAAGTTGGAAATCCACTAACATCTTTTGGTAATACATCAATGTATGGTTTCCAAAAAGAATTTTATCTAGTTAAATCTAATATATCAATTTTACCTTCTATTTTCTTAAAGGAAATGATTTACAAAATATGTCTATATATTGTTAGGAATATAATTCAATTGAATCATTTTTCTATTAATTAGACAACTTTTCTTAACTTCTTCTAAAGAAAGATAATGAGTGCGAGGAATAAAGAGTACCCACTCACCTTATCTAATAAATTGAGAAGCTTTAAGTGTTCTATAACCTTCACTCTTTACTTCTATTTATACTTTAGACACTTCTGCTTTTCCATCTTTCAACCACTAAATAAGATTCTTATATGGATCCTGAATCATTAAAATCAATAAATTACTGGATCATCATATGTCTAACGTTTCGATTTACTCTTTAGTTCATATTCTGAATCTTCTTAAGCCAAAGATAATAAAAGAGCGATTGCTAGAACACAAGTTTAAAGTAACATAATTATTAAAATATTCTAGAAACATACGTATACATTTTTAATTTATGTATATACAAATTGCATTATCAATTCTGTTTCTTTATGCTTAAGCAAAAGAAGAAAATGACTTACATGTTGTATTTGATAAGAATTCGAAACAATTCTTTGAAAAGAATGAAATCTCTATGATCTTCTTCTACACTCCTTAATGTGGACATTGTGAAAGATTCTAACCTGAAGTAGAGAAGGCAGCAAAATAATTGAAAGAGGAAGGTTTTGTGTTTGCAAAAGTTGATGGTCATAATTATAAAGAGATAGCCAAATAATTTGAAGTGAATGGATTTCCTTCTGTAGTATTATCTTAAGATCATGGAAAAAGATATAAGAAATTTGAAGGACCTAGAACAAGTGATAGTGTTATAATGTGGATGTATGAATAACTTAATGAAGGTACTAAGGAATTAAAAACAATATAATAAATCAAAGATAAGATATCATAAAGCTAATTGATGTTTATCTATATGGCTGAAAATGATGAAGATAGAGGATTTAAAAGATACAAAGATTATAGTCATGCATATGGAAATTTAGAATTTTATCATACATTTTTAGAAAACGTATAATAAGAATTAGGGTTTGGACCAACTGATTCTTTAGTAGCTTATAAAAAATATGATAAATCTCCAGTTGTTTATTAACCTAAATAAATCAAGGTATCTGATTTAAAGGCCTTTATTGAAACCAATTGGTTTTAAAGACTTCAAGAATATAGTGAAGATGTATATAAGAAGATTTTCAAATAAGATAGATCATCTTTAATATTATTAGTTGATGAAACATAAATGAAAGATAGAAATGCTCATGATGCTCTAAAATCTATTAGTTTAGATCATCCTCATGAAGATCATTTATTATTTATCAAATGTAGTGTTACTAATCCACTATTCTCAGAATTACAAAAATAAATTGGAGATTTCACTGGAACACCATCTTTATTTGGATTATAAAAGTATGGAGTCTATAAGTATAAATTTAATTAAGCATTTACAAAATAGAATTTAGATTAATTCATCCTTGATTTTAAAAATGGAAAAGCATAAAAACATTATAAATCTTAAAAATTAGATAATCCTATTTATTCAAACAATGTTGAAATCCTTACTGGTAATTCTTATTAAAGAGTTATCAACTCATAAGAAGATTGGGTCATTTTCTATTATAATTCATATGATTCTGAACAGTATTTATATTAATATATCTTAGTCTATCCCTTTTATAAGAATATGCTGATATTGCTAAGTTAATTGGTTAAATTAGTAAAGTCAAATTTGCTATTGCTGATGTTACTCAAAATGAATTTAATGATTTTTCAGATCCAACTGATATCTTCAAAATTAGATTATATAAAGGAAATAAAAATTACACTAAATTTATTTAAAAAGTTAATAAAATTCAGAGAGATAGATTGATTACCTTTATAAAAGAACATTCTAAATATGAATTTAATGATGATCGTAAAGCAGGACATCATGATGATTTATGAAATAAATAATATATTGACGATTGATATTTATATATCTCATTTTTTTTTAAATTCAACGTATTCAAAAATTAAAAGAGGCCAAGCATCTAATATTTAATTATAATAATAAATACCATTCTCATCAAATTTTTAATAATCATTTCCTATTGTTTCAAAAAATTTCCACACTTAACACCATAAATCAAAACTAACTTTTGTAATAGTTTAAAATTCTTATGGTTTTGCTTAACAAAATTGAATGAAATCAGTAATTTCTTTGAATTAATCTTTTAATAATGATTCCCAAAGAGCTTATTATTATTATTTCAATAAATTACTTATTGCCTCTGTAAATCTTATTACATTTTTTCCTAATGATATTACACCAAAATAATATTTATATAATTTCTTATATTTATTTTCTTTCTTTATTTTCTATAATAACTCAGGAGTAAGTTTTTTTAAATCTTTTACACTATTACATCTAAAATTAATAATTTTATTTTACCTTAAACGAATCATTCCTAAAATGAATTCCTATAATGTAAACATTGCTCCCTTTTGAGCACCAAATTTATATGTTATATACAATTATAAAACTTGATGTGATTCAAGACCTGCATCTCTCATAAATCTTGTATATGAATCATTGTCTTTATCCTTATATTAAATTAATCCATCTATCTCATAATCTGAAAAAGCAACTGTTAAACTCTGAATTCTTTTTGTAAGCTTTTAATACTCTTCTTTAGCCTTTCTAACACGATCGTAATGTGCTACCTATTTCAATAAATATTTTGCAAATCTCCTAGAAATTCCAAGGCTTTGAGATACACTTATTTCATCTTAATCTTCTTATTTCCTTATAATAAATCAAACTATATACATTATGCTTATTTAAATATTTTTATTATTGAATTTTAATAGAATCAGAAAATACTTATATGGCCTGATTAAATTTTGGAAAAAAAAGTCTATATTTATAATTTTTCTTTGCTATTAACAAATAACTTAATTTTCTCATTTGAAACAAAGAATCTCTTATGGATATTTAATAAAATTATATTGAATTTAAATATTTCTTATAAATAATATTTATTCAATAAGGGAGAATCAAGGATATATGTTTGAAAATGTTTAAATTTATTTAAATAGAAGAATAGATTTTTATCAATGATATACTTTATAAAAATAATTTATGAATATTCATTTTAAAATACTAGTTTCAATACAGCCTTTACCTAAAACTTATTTAAATTATTAACTCGATAAAGTAAACTTCTCTTTGTTTAGATTTTAAGTCTCTCTGGATTCAACTTTAGTAGTATTTGTTATTTATTTTTGAATAGTAATTTATTTATTCATTAAATTTTTCAAAATTTTTATTTGATTAAAATCTATTTAAGGAGATAAATAAGAAAAAAAATGAGCTTTTCCACTTTCCTATGTTAATGATTTAAATTTTGGATCATTAAAATTGATATTAACACTTTTCAAAAATAAAACTATTAATTTTTCTAATGTTTCATCTCCTAATTTTATTTAAAAAAACATGTCCTGAAAATTTTTTTTAAAACCTTATAAAAATTACTGAATAAATGTATCAATTAATTATTTTTAAAGTTCCTCCTTGACTTGACTTTTTTGTTCAATAATTCAAATTAAAGTTTGAGATTTATATAAATATTTTTTAGAGCAGAAAATAAAGCAATTATTTGATTATTATTTTAATTTTTAGGGTCAATCGATTCTTTAATTTATTACAATTCATCCATGAATATTTTTTCTTAAGATGAAAATTCTGATTTAATAATTTGCGTAGATTTATTAAGCAAATTTATATAAATGTTGTGATTAATTTAGTTGAATTTAATCATATTATTTAATTAACCAATCTATTTTATTTCAAGTTCATATATTTCTTTTTTTTTCTTTTCAAATATCTGCATTTCTTCTTACTGTTATTATTAAATATTTTTAATAATTTATTGAACTTTTAATTGTATCTTTTCTTTAATTTTCTCTTATTGATCAAACATTTAATTAGAAATTTCCTATTATTCTTTCAAAACGACTTTTAACTTTTTAACAGAATTATTAGAAACATGTTGTTCATATTCTTTCTAATGACAATTTATACAGAGCAATGTACAAGTTTAATTATTTTTAATACATTCTTGACAAATATAGTTTTTCTTCTGTTTTTGCTGTTCTTCACAAATTTCAATTTAGATTTTTGAAGTCTACTCAAATTTAGGTTAATCTATCTAACTTGTTTCAACAATTCCTAGAAATTAGAAATTAGATTATGATAATGATAAATCTGTGATGAATTTAATTGTATTTTTAATATCATCAAGTTGCAATTATCTTATACAGGTAGATTATTCTTTTTCTTTTTAATATTATATTTATGATTCATTTATCTTTAATATACAATATTTTAAAATACTATCTAAATTATAGTTCTCTTCTCCCATTTATAATGATTAAGCCTACTTAATTTATTATGATAATGACATATTTTATGTTTAAAAAAATACTTCAACCTTTTTCTGTTGTTAATCATGCCACTTAATAAAAGTTTATTTCTAATCATCCAGAAAATTTACAACATTTTCAAAATCCTATTTGTTTTTTGTTATAATTTCTTCGAGAATTTTTATTAGATTCTTTTTATTTTCTTTTGCTAGCTCTATTAATTATGCAAGTTTGTAAGGTTTATGACCCTTAAATTAATCTAAATGTTTGCAGAAACATTCGAAACAACTCATTTTGTTATCTTTTTTTTTGATACATTCAGTCTGAATACAAATTACTTGTGCTTAATCATTTTAGCATATAGAACAGACAGACATTTATGAATAAGATTATTTATTAATGATAGAAATATAAAAAATCTTATTTTATATAATATAAGATTTTTAATTAACCTACTTTAAATTAATTATTAGATATAGTTTTTGAGGAATCAAAAAAATAAATAAATATCTATAAATCAAATAAAACATTAGTTAAATTCTTGAATGAGAATAAGTATAATATAAATTTATAAGAAACTATTGATTCCTTTTTGTAAAGTGTACAATAAAATATTGATTGTTTTATCTTTCCAATAAAAATTAAATATGAAGAATATTTAAATATAACAGATGAGATTAAAAATGAAGTTTAAATTAAATTAGAATATTTATAGATAATAAATTTATTCATAAATTTAAAAGTGTTCTCATAGTTCTTTCAAAAGTGTCGTCTGCAAATAAAGTTTAAGAAGGGACTAGGTAAACAAAATGTATAATAATTTAACTATTCTCATAAATAGAATTTCTAAAGTAAGTTAGCATAATTATCATTATAAAGATTAAAAGAAGTAGATACATAATATTAAATATCTATTATTATTAATTAAAATGAATTACCTTTTGTTAATCAACTAAATCAGTAGTTAATTGAATTAAATCGTTATAAAAGTAAGAATTAATTACATTAATAACTTCTGAGATCATGAATGCTCCCTCTAATTCATTTTATGTTGGAACTGCTCTATATGTAAAATTATTAATTGCCATATCAACTTCAATTAAATTTTAAATATAAATCAACATAGCTTTTAATCCATGTCTCATATTCTAATTCATTATATTAGGACATAAATCTTTAGATTTCTCTATCAAATATTCAGGTAAGAATGTGCATAGATTTCCATCTTAAACATCCTCATAAAATTGGGCAAATGAATCAGTCACTAACATCCTATAAAAAATATAAATATTTATTACTTTGAAAAATCAAAATCTTAAGAAGTATATTTTATAGTATTAGCTAATGATTCATTTACATAAAACCACATTTTATTAAAATAAGCAGCATCTAAATACATGTAGTTTTTTCTACCATAAAGTACTTCTCTTTAAGCAAACATCAATGGAATATCACCACCTAAATCACCAAGTTATTTTTTATATTATGATGTATAAGGATAATCTTTAAGATATCCTTAGAACTCTATAAAATTTATAACACTATTCAGAGTGACTATTCCGTATAGTATTATTGACAAAAACAAAAATCTATATATTGGTATTTTTTTTTTTTTTTGATATTTAGAAATTCTTTATCCTTTATCCAATTTCTCTTTTAAAAATTAATCCTCTTTTTCATCCATCTCTAAAGCATAATTAAATTTATATGAATTATCAGCCAGCAATTAATCCAATAATTATTTACATTTTTATATTTCAGTCTATATAGCATCATTATCTGTATATTAACTTAATTATAAAAATAACATCAGTCTTTTATTTATAAAAAACTTTACATTACAATTTAACAATATTATTAGAATTAATAATACTTACTCTAATATAAATAATGTTTTTAGTTCTCCTTCAAAGTTTTCTCCTCTATTTAAAGTTTATGTCAAAATATCTTAATTTAATTGAGTCATAATGTCTCTCAAAATTGGATAATTCATAAAACTATAAAATATTTAAGGACTATCTGCTTTTACAGTTTTTTCATAAATATAATTCATTTTTAAAATGTATTAAAAATTTAATAAAACAGAAATGGCAGTTCTAAGAGTCATATTATATTATTCTGATTTATAAGTATCTAAATAAGCATAAGATTCTATATATTTTGTTTAAAGCAAACTCTATAATTCTTATCGATTTAAAACAGATTTCAAATTTGAATTGAGTGAATCAAATCCTAAAACTAAATTAGAAGTTGCAAATTTCGATACAGAATTATATTCTGCTTAAGAAATAATTCCATTAGTTTTTTAAAAATTATAAGTCCATAAATTCCATCTTGTAACTAAAAACATATCTAAAGGCTGAAAAAACAAATTCTTTATTTCCAATAAATTAATATCAACAGCAAAAGCTACCAAATTCAAACTTGTTAAATGCTAATAATTATTCAAATAATTACAATTAAGATAAAACATCCCTACAAAATCACACTTAATATAAAAAGTAAAATGATTAATTGATGAAATCTTCTCAATGGTAAATGTTTATTAAATTTATTATAAAGATCATATTTTCTATAAAATTTAGAATTTCTCAACATTCTAATTGATGATACTTAAGATTAATCTTCCCTATCAAATATTTAATCTTTTTTTTATTCAATTCCTTTTTTATTTTTTTAATCATTCTCTAAAATTGGAAGTGATTAAATTGATTATCTCTTGCTCTCCTTTTAATCTTTAACAATTAATAGATTTTCTGGTTCACATTTGGGTGTAGTAATCTAAAATTACAAAGTATCAATAGGAAAAACATTTTAAATAGTTTCATGATTAATTAATTTATTTTGAACATTCTAAGTTCCTTTAACTTCTTCATCAATTAAATTATTCGCAGGTGATATAAGATCTCCTTCTTCAGCAATGCTAAGTTCTTTACTAGATTTTGATTAATGTGTCTTTGTTTCTTTCTTAGTAGAAGTTAAATTATTCTAATAAATTATTGATAAATTTTCCAATTAAATAATCATGTATATCATTTTATTTTCAAATGTCTTTAGGACAATATTTAAACTACAATAATATGAAATTTCTTCTTATAGATCTTCTATTAAAGATTTTTATTTATACTAATTTATTAATATATTTTCTAATTAACAACTACTTTTTATATCTAATATTTCAGGAAATATTTGAGTGATTTGCATGCCTTTAACAAAAATGTCTTAATATTTATTTGCTTAACTAATTTTATTTGTTATATTTGTTATAATATATTTTTCATTTACAATTATAGTCATATTCTATTATGGTATAGGAGTTAAGAGACAAATAAAATTTAATTCATCAGAATATGATATATCAATTGCAAAATCTATAGAATCAATAAATTGACCATGATTTATATAATTTTCATTTTGTTGTCTAATAAATTTAGATTTACCAGTTCTAATAAAATCATTCACTATTTTATCATGCCATTCCTTTATACCATTTGGAATTAATTCAGGTAATGATTTATTACAAACATAAGATGGTGTATTACTTGATATTTTACTAATTTATAATTGTTAATTATCATATTTAGTTATAATATAAAACATATGTCTATTTGTAACATATTCATTATAACATAACTCACTACTTTTTTTAGCATGAATTATCATATCATTTGCTTCAAGTAAATCATTTAAAATTTCAGCATAAAAAAAACAAATTAATGCTTAAACCATACCATTAGGCTCTTCTAAATAATAGTTATCTATTTCTTTTTTTAACTTAAGTAATGATTTTATATAAACATATAGTTATTAAAATTCATTGTTCTTCCAATTTTATAATAATTTTATTTTCCGTTATAATATTTTTTTTATATTATTCGATATTTTTATATTTTTTACATCATTCTTAATAAGTTTTTAAGCAACACCAAACAATCTTTCAGCTTGAGTTGTTAATTGAAAATCAAAATTTATCTAATCTACGCATTTCTTTAAAAGAATATTCCTTTTTACCTATCTTATAAATTATTCATCCTTTAGTTTATTTAATATTAAAAAACACTCATAAAATTTTCTTTATTATAATAATATAGAGGCATTAATAATTTAATCCTCACAAAATACATAATCAGATAACTTGATTGTTGTTAATATTTTAAACAAAAATGGAATAATTATTATTGTGAAAGAATTCTCATATTGAATAAATTAAATTATTCCAGCATATAATGTTATTAGTTAAACTGAGATCATTACTAATCTAATAATGGAATTTCTTTAATTTTTAATCAATATTAAATCTAAACTTGATGCTACAGAATTTATCATAGCTATAATTTGAAGAATTCTAATCTCATATTGTAATTTATAAAAAAGCATAAGCAAAATGTTTAAAATTGACTTAATTACATAAAAAAATGTAATTTCTGTTCTCTAAAAGTTTTTTGTTTCTATATTCAATGTTCCTTAAACACATAAGATATCAAAAACCTAAAAGCTTATTATAATTGCACCAATGATGTATCCTTAAATATTATCAAATTACTCAATAACGAAATTCAATAATCCCACATTCATCAAAGAATTTATTAAACTAATAATGCTTCTTCCAATGAGATTTGATTTTACTAAATAAAATAAGTGAAGTAGCATAAATAATATACCAATAATATAAAAGTAAGGTATTTGAATTATTATTGAAGGTCTTGCTACTAAAGCTAAAATGTATAACCAAGATGAATGATTCTTATAATATATGTAAGATAAGTTTAAGAAAGAGGATAAAATTAAGAAAGTATTAGTAAAACCTTCTGGCAATTTATAAGCTTAGTCATCGTATTCTATGTATTTGTTTAGTATTTTTGATACTAATTTATTGAAAATGATCATTCTTTTATAAATTAATGGGGAAAAAATGATTGAAAATCATCTTTAAAGTATCCTCATTAGTACTCTAGATCAAATTTTAAATATTTTTTAAATAATCATACGCATTAATCTTAACTATATTAATTTATTTATTGTAAATATTTTTATAAAAAAATGAGCATAAAATTTAAATTATTAAATTATAAGATAACCTATGATAATATCAACTCTAATTTAAAAAGCTTCTCAAAATTCTTTCAAACAGATCATTAGTGTAAAGAGAATAAGTAGGTATAATTTATACAAATTGCACAATTTACTTAGAATTATTTATAAATATAATTGCTAATTTTGGAGTCCATATCAAAATTATTAATATGACTAATATTATGTAACAAATATTTATTGTCTATTTAATAATTAATTTAAGATTTTTACATACAAAATTTCGGCTAATTAATTAGTCAGATCTTTTAAATCCTAAACAAATTAATTGTTAAAATCTTTAATGATTTATGATAAAATAAAAACACCATCTAATTCATTATATACAATTGTTAATCTTTTAGTAAACTTATTAATTTCAATCTCTTTTGCAATCAAATTTTCAGCATAAAGTAAAACTGCCTTTAAACCTAATTACATATTTTAATTAAAAATTTAGGGACAGATTAATTAACTTTTTACCTATAAGTTAATGGGTATAAAGTTACACAAATTTGATCCTTATAATTGTTCATAATAATCTTCAAATTATTTTGTAACTAAAATTCTATATTAGAATTCAATAATACTTGGAAAAATCTTTTTAAATTGAATCAAATTTTGCAGTGTTATTCAAAGCTAATATTATTCTTTAGTATACATTCTCAAAATCTTCTTATGTCAAATAAAACAATCTTTTTCTCTCATATAAAATTTCACGTTAAGCAAACATGCAAGGAAAATCAACTCCTAAATTTGCAAATCCTTCTAAATAAATTGCCGTTTCAGGATATTTTTATAAAAAATTTTTTTGTAAAAAGTAAGTTATAAAATGATTGAAAGAAAATAAAATGTAAATAGTTGATAAAAACAAACAATATTTAAAAAACGAATTACTTGAAATTTTTTTAAATTTAATTTTTGCCTAAACCTCAAAGTGTTAAACTTATTAAAATTATTATTCTTTTAATTCCATATTTAATTTATAACAAAATTTAAATGAATTATCTAATTTAAGCTAATTTAGAAATATTTAATATTTTTTTATTTCAAATTCTAACTCTCTCTCATCAACATATTACTTTAAATTAATACATTATATAAGTCTTTTATCAATAATTTAATGAAGAATCAATATTAAAAGTAAAAAGAATAAAAGTAGAATTTAATTAACAGCTAAAATGGTTTCAACTTGGGTTTGAATTAAATTTGCTCTTATTAATGTTTCTGATATTACGTCAAGATTGAGTTATTAAGCAATATCATTTAATACCTTATAATTCTTATAACTATAAAAAACTTGTGGAGTATCAATACCTACCGTTTTTTCAATTTTATAATTCATTTTAAGTGTATATTAAAAATTTAATAGAACTTAAATAGCTGTTCTTAAAGTCATATTATACTATTCATTTTTATATGTATCTAAGTATTAATAAGCATTAAAATATTTCATTTATAATAATGCCTGTAATTCTTTTTTGAACAATATGGATTGAATATTTTAATTTAATTAATCATAACCTAAATCTAAATTAGACAAGGCAAAACTGGTTCTATTTGTATATTCTTCTAATGTAATTTATTTTTCATTTAGTTGATTTTTATAATTAAATAATGTCCATCTGGTTACTAAAAATAATTCCATTGGTTAAAATATTAAATTTTTAATTTCTAATAAATTGACATCCTCTGCTAATGTTACCAATGCCATACTTGTTAATTGCTAAATATAAATGTTTTAAATACAATAATCATGAAAATCAATTGACAGAAGCATAACAAAAACATGATCACAATGATTAATTTGTGTAATCTACTATATGGAATAAATTAAAGAAATTTATTATAAAGTTCATATTTTCGATAAAATTTTGAATTTCTAAATTATTTTAATGAAGAAACTTAAGATTAAACATCCATAAATTATGCTTATTGTTCTTCTTAAAATTAAGATTTTTTAAATTAAGATTTGAATCTTTTTGCAACTCTTTTAAAACGAACTAAAGATACTTCTTCATCTCGTGGTGTAAAAATTTGTTATTAAACTACAGTTTTTTCATCTATATATATATAATTTTGCAACATTATCTTATCATTAGAATCTTCAGAAAATTCATAAGGATTAATAACCATATTATTTTCTAATTCTAATGGAATCATTTCAAATGAATCATTTTGTACAAATTAATCTTATGTGAATTCATCATTTTTTTTTATTAATTATTTCTTAAAATTATCAAATTAAAGGATCATATAAATCATTTTATTATTGCTTAGCTTAACAGTAATATTAACATCACAATAATAATTCATTTCAGCTTTTTTATCAGTTACTTATTTAGAACTTAAAATTTGATCTGATTATATTACTATCATATTTTCTAAATAACAGTTTTATGTAATTTGAGTTACAGAAGGCATAAATTTATCAAGTTATTAGCCTATTTAAAAATATTTGCTTAAATTGACAAAATCACTAAAATCTGCACTCATTGATGTAATTAAGTAATTTTGATTTATAATGACTGTTTTAGTTTACATAAGTGTTGGTTAGAATAAGCAAATAAAGTTAACTTCATCAATATAAATAATATCGATAGCAAATTAAACATTTTCAATATAATTTTCATTGGCAATATAATTGTTATTTAAATTTCTCACATATTTTGATTGACCATCAATAAGAAATTAATCTACTAATTAAGAATGCCATTCTCTAATTCCTAAAGGAATGAGATCATCAAGGTTTTTATTACAAAAAGTTTTTGGAGCGTTGCTTGATAGAGATTTAATGATCAATTTATTATTTTAATAATTAGCAACTAAATAAATTAACTTAGATAACATTGAATCATTAAATTTAATTTAAGTTTCTTAAGATGTTGAAAAACTACTTTAAATTTATTAAGCTTTAAGCAAATCATTAATAATTTCAGAATAAAAGAAAACTTATAATGATTAGATCATCATGCTATTTTATTAACTACGATATTGTTCTAATTACCTTCTTATTGAATTAATTTTATTAGTATAATGCAACAATTATTTAAAATCAATATCTTTAAAATGTTAAAGTAAAAATAATTTGTTTTCAATCAAAATATTTAATTAATTAGACATATAAATATTTCTTTCATCATTTTTCATTAATTGTTAACACACACCCTTTAAAGTTTAATTTGGTTTTTAGATTTTAAGAATAATTTAGTCAATACACAATTTCATTAATTGATTACATTTTACTCTTTTCATAATCCCTAAATTGTTTTAGTTATTTAAAATAGTAAAACTTTAAAAAACTAATCCTTTTTCTAATAATAAGGAAGCCTATAGAATAGGTTCATCAATTTAATGATTAGAAAATTATAATTAAAGTATAATTTTTAGTAATAAAGGTAATAAAACTAATGTTTATAAATGTTAATAATTAATAATATGGATAATTCCAAATACAATTGTTGTTAAATGAGAAAATGCAACCACTTTTCTAATGATTCTATTTCTATAATTGTTATGTAAAATAATAAAAGCCAACTAAAAGCATGATTTAATTAAAGCTAATATTTATAACACTATATAATGAAATTGAAATAACTAAAAATAAATCAGCAGAATATTTAATATAAAATCTACGATATTTAAGTAATTAGAGTAAGGGACTTAAAAATTAATGGTATTAACAGTTAGTGTTCCTTATACTAATAAAACATCTAAAAATTATTATAAGGTTATTAATAATCCAACAATAATTCCTAATTAACCATTCATTTGCTCGAGTACGAAATTGAACAATGCAGTTTTCAAAAATGCATTAAATAAACTAGTCAGTGAAGCTCCATAGAAATTTTGATTAAATAAAAATACAAGCCACAAAATAATAAATCCGAGCATAATATAATCTAAATATGCAATCTTAATTATCAATTGAGGTCTTGCAATAAGTACAAATATGTAGATCCATGATTTTTTATTCATTTAGTAGAGATATGATATGTTTATTAAGGAATGTTACAACAATAAAATATTAACTAAATGTTCAGGCAGAGGGTAAGCTTTGTTTTCAAAATCTAATAAGTGGGCAAGAAATTTCAAAATAAATTAGTTTTTCTTAAACATATTAATAAAGCAATATTGATTAACTCAATTTATAAACAATAAATCGTAAGTAATATTTCTAGGCATTTTAAAAATGTTAAATTAAGTTTTATTATAAAATTATGTAAATTTAATGAATTCATTCTTCAGTTTACGTTCCCTACTGTTCTTCATTAATTATTTCTTCTTTATGTTCGATACTATTTTGTGTTTATTAATTTTATTGTAAAATTTCCTCTTATTTCTTATTTATTAAATGATATAACATACATTATTTTATGTATTTGACTGTTCAGCAAGTATCTATGTATTATTTAAGGAATGAAAAGTTTTCGCAAATTAATCAGGTTATAATCTTGTAGCAGCAATCAATTTTCCTTTTACATCTTTCTCTCTTTATTATGTTGCTTATAATTTTTGAACCATTTATAATTCCTCTATCTCTAATTATTTAATATGTTTTTCTCTTTCTTCATTTTCTTAAATAGTTTTAACTTTTTCTTTATCGTTCTCTTATTTTATTTTGCTTCTTTTTTCATTTAATTTTTCTCGAATTATTACTTCAGATAAATTTTACTCTTGCTTTCTTAAAGCTGCCTTTAATTTTTAATTTTCATGCCATTTTTTTTATTCCTCTATAAACTTAAATTATTCATATTATAAAAGTTTTCTATAATTTTATGCTTCATTATGCTTATATTATCTAAACTCTTGTTTAACTTTTTTCAACTAATTTCTTTCAATTGTTGTTTTTATGTAGAGTTCTTTATTTCTTTCATTTCCAATAGATTATTCTGTCAATTCTTTTGAATCGTTTTATGAATTTCTATAATAAAGTGCATTTTTTTATATTTTTTGTTGTTTCTATATAATCTAATTATTTATTACTTTTAGCTATGCAGCTACTTTTTATTGATAAACTTCAGAAGTTAATTATTCTGTTTATTATATTCTTTTAACCAATTTCCCTTCTTCATTTCTAAGTTATCTAATTCTATTTTCTACACTCTATGCTTATAATTCTAATTCTTTTTTTCTTCTTTTTACTTCATTTAATGTTATATCTTCAGAATGATGAATTGAATGAAGTTATTAACTCTAAGATATCCTGGGTAACATTTAATAAAATAATTATAATTGAAAATTCATTCTTTTAAGAAAAACACTAATTTTATAAGCAAAAAAATATTAATAAAAAGTTCGTTGAGATGAAAAACAACTTATCAACAAAACATTTTCCATAAGGACACTTTTTTAAATTTCTGCTTAATTTTTAAATAAATTAATCCTAATTATTTGTTAAACTCTATGAAACTATCTATATTAACAATAATGTAATTTTAAATAAAATTTGTTTATTAGACAACAAATGCAGAATTAGGTTTGTCAAAATAAGTTTGATTAAAAGTAATTAATGTAAATAAGAATCCTCTCATTTATATATTATGCCAAAGAAAGATAAAATATATAAGTAATAATTTAAATAATATAATTTTAGAAATAGAAGAAGATATTTTCCTTCAAGAAAAAAAAGCAAAAAAGACTTCTTAACACATTCATTAGATTTTATTAAACAAAATTACGTTGAAAGAGATTGTTAATTTATTCATTTTCACAAAATAACAAGTTAAGGTAGTGTTTATATGAGACTTTAAGTTTCTGTATCTTTAACAAGAGTATAAGAAAATGAAGTAGCTTATAGAATATTCTAATAAAGAAAACTTAATATATAATTTATAAAATAGAAAGTAATTCTATTATTGGTAAAGGATTACCAAACTCATATAAAAAATGGAATAAAATATAATCTTAATAAGAAGTCTCTTAATGATCAAATTATATTTTAAGTATATAAACTTTAGAATAAGGATTTAAATAGTAGAAAGAAGTGGGATATTTAATTATGATTAGTTTTAATTATTTTGTATAAAACAATTAGTATTTAAATACATATTATTATTTGTCATCTAGGTTTTCTAAATATTATAATATATTAATTAAATTATGCATAATTTTCTGTTTGGAAATAGACTATCAACTTACTCTCCCTTTAGTCCTTTTGGTTCTTCTAAAAACTCTAAACCAGGCATAATAACAAAGATTAAAAACAAGATATAAGATTTGTTTCAACCTTCTATCAACCCATCAAGCACAATTTAACGGATACAATGCTATAATGAATTAAATTTAGAAAAAGAACTATCTCATTAATTTAAAAATAATCTTGTAATTGTAGATCATATTCTACCCAATAATCAGACTTCAAAACGCAAGTCTTTATATCCCTTTGATTTATATTTACAGGAACTTATTCAAAAACAAAATTAAATATCTGAAGAACCCATTATTAACTAGGCTATTAAACTAAAAGATTAACAACCTTATCTTAGCTAAACCAAGAAACAAATGAAATTTAAAAAAAATCATGCTAAAATTCAAAAACCTAGAAAAATGGAAGGTAATTTTTGTTTCTATTAACATATAGCCAACTCATCATTAAGAGACTTAGAATTTAATAAAAAATCTTAGGATTTTAATGTTGAATTAAATTAAGAAAATTCTACAAGTTTTCAATCCAATTAATCAATTAAAAAAATCAAATTCTAAGAAAACTGTATTGAAACAGCTAGTCCTTCTTACAATTAAAAAGGTTAGAAAAAGCAATAAATGTCTTAAATAAATTAATTTGAAATTTAATCTTTTGCTAACATTAAATAAAATTAACAATTTAGTTGTCAATAATTAAATGATAAAAAAAAAAGAAATTCTGAAACTTAAAATAGATTATCTTGTAAATTCAAATAATTTATTTAAGAAAATTAATATTTTTCAAGTTCTACTGGTACTAATACTAAAGGAGAACCTTAAGAGGCTTTATTCAATATGGAACATATTTCCTTTTCTTAAGAGTCAGATTCCTCAATATCTGAAGAATAATGCTAAATCGAAAATGATTCATTTGAAATTAAAAATAAGCTTTTTTCTATTTTTCATCCTGATCATGAAAAATAAAGATTTTCAGATGTGCAATAGGAATAAGAACAAATTAAATACTCTAATGAACTTAAAAATAATTAAAATTTAAGTTAAAATAAATAATCAATAGACAATTTAGAAAAACAAAACAAAATTAATAAATAAAGAAATCTTAAATTAGATTCAGATATAATCAGTTTATAAATTTCATGCATTCGTTAAAACTAAAATGAATCTAATTAACAATTTAAAGTTATTTCTGAAATCTAATAAGAATAATAAGAATTTATTACATAAGAAAAGTAAGATAATAAATAAAATGATGATTCTAATAATAATTATAGATATGATAACATTATTATATCGAATGCTTAATAATGTATGATAGAAAATAATTAATCTATATAAGAAAATAATGATAAACTAAATTAAGATGCAATGGTTGAATAAAGAAATTAAAACTAATTGTGTAATAAATAACTAGATGATAAACTTGATAGTTCTTAATCTTAAAATACATTAATGTCGATGAATTATGAAAGTCCACCAAAAGTTTCAAAAATAATTTAAGAGTATGATTAATAAAAAGATTTAAGCCGAAAGAATAATTAACTATAAAAATAAAATAATCCATTTTTAGATACTGGTTCTCATATTGATTCTAATTAAGTAAGTTAATATTTTTTGTCAGGCCTATTAATAGGAAATTCATAGTTTTTTTAACAATAATAACAAAATATTAGAAATTAAAATCATACAGATTTATTTAAAATGCCAACAAATAATTAACTTTTCAAATTTAATGTACTTTCTGATATTTAAACTTATTAAACATAACCTTAGAATTTATTTAATGAATAGAACATAATCTAAAAGAATAATTAATGCTTAATTTATGAGTAAATGGAAACTATAGATTAAATTCCATTAAATGATTAATTTAATTATAGTTAACAAAATATTTACCATCAACCAATATCAAATTACTATTAACCAAACTTTGAACAAAACTATTAATCCCAATCTGATGCCTTTTAGTAATCTTAATCAAGTAATCCATGGAACAGTTACCAAGCACCTCTTTAGTAATAAAACCTTTTTCCGTAAATGCAGTAATCTTCATATCAAATATCAAGCATTAACCTATTTCAATCAAATTCATCAATACCAAATTCCAATTCTAATTGCACTTAAGAAAGCAGAATAAATCATATTTATACTAAACAGGATGTACTTTCGTTATTTTCAGAGACAAATAAAAAAAAAGATCAAAGTAATTTATATAACATACCTCTAGATTTATTTGTTATTGATTCTATCTAAAGTAGTAATTCATAATCATAAAATTTAAATAATAGCTTTAATAAGGGATACAGAAAAAAACAACGCATTAATATTGATTGAAATGGTTTTGAATATTGAAAATATATTATATATATGCATCATAAATCACTTTTATACAAATTTGTTTAATTAAGAATCAATGATATAAAAAATCAAATTCTTTTAGAAATCAAACATTCCTTCATTTTATTATAAATATAATTATCCCATTTCACTATTAATTAAGATAAAGTTTGAATCTATTTTTTTGTTTTAATATTCTTTTTCAAAATAGCAAACAATTTTTTATTTTCTGAGTCAGAATAATAAATTGAGTAATTTTACAATTAAAATTAACTTTCTTAATTTATAGTTTAGATCATTTAGTTAAGTAAATAGTTATGAAACATTTTAATTATAAAATATAATAAAATGGAATCATACAAGAAATTGAAAATAGATTCATTTGATTATTATGATCCTCCTGAGAATTATTAGCCACCTGTTTAATAGTTGGATTAGAATAAAGTGATAGAAGCATATAAAACATTGATTATGTTGAAAAATCATATGTTTAAAGTGAATCTTCTACTTTCTCATGAGGAAGAGAATTCAACAATAGCTGAATTAAACAACATTAAGGATGAATTATTATTAGCTAAAGAAGCATAAGAGAAAGAAATTGCATCACTATAAAAAACATAAGATAATTTGTTTAGTGTAAATAGACTAAATGGTGAAGACATTGATAAATTAGCAAAAGCATATCATGAATAAGATAGAAAATGGTATAATGCAAAGCTAATTTAAATTGATACAGAGGAATAAGAAGCAGATATCTAATTTATTGGTTATTAAGAAGTAGTAAAAATGCATGCCATTTTTATAAAAGTTCAACCTATACCAGATAGTAAATTATTCACTGTAGGATAGTAATGTGAAGCAATTTATTCTTCAGATGGTCGATATTATTTAGGAACAATTGAAAAAGTGACAGAAGAAGGATATCATATAAGATTTAAGAAAAATTCAAATAGAGAAATTGTACCTTTGATTTATCTAAGGGAAGCAAAGAAATAATTAAATGATTCTAAAAAAATGAACTTTGAAGAAATGGATGAATTTTTAGTACCAGACAATTTGAAAATTTTACCTACTGATAATGAATAATAAAGATAAGCTAAAAAGAAGAAAATTAAGGCTATGAAATAAACATTTAAATTGTCTAAAATTACTAAATATGCTTAAGAGAAATAATCATCTTGGCAATCTTTCAGTTAGAAAATTTCAACACTCAAACCAGATTTAGGATAAAAAGCAGAAAGCATTTATAGATAAAAATGTGATTAGTTGAAAGAATGATAAATTATATATATACATATATATATATAATTTAATTTGTGATTAATGAAAAAAAAACTTGATTCTTAAATATAAGCTCTTGTTTAATCAGGAATCAATGAACACATTCGTTCAATATTTGTAATGATTGGAGATAGAAGCAAATATTAAGTTGCAACAATGCATTAATTGTTAAGTAAACTGAGTATGATATAAAAACCAAAAGTATTATGGTGTTACAAGAAAGTATGTTTACTATAATAAAATAAAGGATTTAGGATTTACAACTCATAAAAAGAAGAGAGAAACAGAAATCAAAAATTAATAAATGAAAGAGGAAACTTAATTGAATGAACCTTTTAATTTATTTTTGTCTTCAAATGAAATTAGATATTGTTATTATGCAGAAACATAAAAGGTCTTGGGAAATACATATAATATGTTAATTTTATAAGATTTTGAAGCATTAACACCAAATATACTTTGTAGAACTGTTGAAACTATAGCAGGAGGAGGAATAATCATATTCTTAATTAAAACAATGTCTTCATTAAAATAATTGTATTCTCTAACTATGGATGTTCATTCCAGATTGAGAACTCCTAGCTTTAAAGAAATATAACCAAGATTCAATGAGCGTTTTATAATCAGTTTGAGTAGATGTTAAAGATGTCTCTTTGTTGATGATGAATTGAATCTTTTACCAGTTTCTTCAACTGCTCTAGAGAAAATTGAGTAAGGGACTCCTATCAATAATAATTAAGTATCTGATTTTGCTTAAACTGTTCCAAATGAAATAGCTTAAAGATTAATTAAAAATTGTAAGACATTAGATTAAGCTAAAATAATCTTAGGATTGATTGATTCTTTACAAGAAAAGGTTTTTAGATACACAATTTCTATTAGTGCAGCAAGAGGTAGAGGTAAATCTGCTGCTATAGGAATGGCTGCTGCTGCTGCTCTTAAATTAGGATTTAGTAATATATTTGTAACTGCACCTTCCCCAGAAAATTTAGTTACTTTCTTTGAATTTCTTATTTCAAGTTTAGAAATTTTAGATTTTAGATAAAATTAACACTTTGATGTTATTTAATCAACTAATCCTGATTTTAATAATGCAGTAATCAGAGTTAATGCATATAAAACACATAGACAGTTTGTATAATATATCCAACCATAAGATTTTGTAAAAGTAGCTAACAATGCTGATTTAGTATTTTGTGATGAAGCAGCTGCAATTCCAATATAATTTGTAAAATCCATGTTCGGAAGTCATACTCTAGTGCTTTCAAGTACAATCAACGGATATGAAGGAACAGGTAGATCACTATCATTAAAATTGTTATAAAAATTAAGAGAAAACAAACCCACAGGACAAGCAAGATTATTAAAAGAATTATAAATGAATGACCCTATAAGATATAGTAATAAAGATATAGTTGAGAAATGGTTATATGAATTGTTATTATTAGATGCAAGTGAAGCACCTAAGTTATAAAAAGGATTACCACATCCAAATGATTGCGAATTATATTTATGCAATAGAGATACTTTATTTTCATCATAGAAAACAAGTGAAAAGTTTCTATTTAATTTAATGTCACTGTTTATTTCTTCGCATTACAAGAACTCCCCTAATGATTTATAATTATTATCAGATGCACCAGCTCATGCAGTATTTGTATTATTGGGTCCATTGCCAACTGATAAAACAATGCCAGATATTCTATGTGCAGTATAAGTATGTTTCGAAGGAGCAATTCCTAAGGACTTAGTAGATTAAGTTACAAATTAATAAAAACCTTCAGGAGATTTAATACCTTGGACTCTAAGTAAATATTATTTGGATAATTAATTTCCATAATATTCAGGTGTTAGAGTAATTAGAATTGCAACACATCCAAATGCACAGAAAATGGGATATGGAAGCAAGGCTATGGAATTATTAAATAGATTTTGTAAAGGTGAAATATTGGATCATTCAGCATAATTAATACATATAGATTTTAGAGAATAAGTAAATATTGATGATGATAAAGACAATTCAATTTAACCTAAAAAGAAACTACCTCCTCTTTTAAAAAAGTTAAGTGAAGTTTATCCACCTTAAATTGATTATTTAGGAGTATCTTTTGGATTAACATAAGAATTATATAAATTTTGGAGTAAAAATGAATTTTCTCCAGCTTATTTAAGTTTGAGAAAGAATGATACTACTGGAGAATATACATGTATAGTTTTAAGATCAGTAAAGGAGGATGGATCTGGAATTGATAATTTATGCAAGGCGTTTAGTTTAGATTTTAGAAATAGATTCATGAATTTATTAGGTTATGATTTTAAAGATTTAGAACCATATCTTTGCATTGACATTTTGAAAGCTAATGTAACAACAAGTAATATAGATGAAGATATCGAAATTGCAAAAGATGATAATATTATTACAAAAGAAGAACTTCGTTAATAGTTAAGTTTAAGCGATTATGCTAGACTTGAAAATTATTGTAAAAGTATGGCAGACTTTTATTTAATACTTGATATCTTGCCAACTATTTGCAAGTATTTATGTTTTTGTATTTATATAATAGAATATTCTTTGCCTAAAAGTGTGGTAAAGCAATAAGAATGAGTAGAACCTAAGCAGCCTTATTATTAGCTATGGGATTATAATTTAAAAACATTGAAATAGCTAGTGACTAGTTAGATAATGCAGTCAATTAATCATTACCATTATTCAATAAAGCTATGAGGAAAATGAGAAATTTTATTAAAATGGTTTTAGATGAAGAATAATAATAATAGTAAAAAACTAAACCAAAACAATCATAATAATCATCAACTAAATAAACAGTTATACAATAAAAAAGAGGAAAAGTTAATTATTAAATAGATGGATAAATAGATTAAGAAGATATTTAATAAGATCTTAAGACTGGTGATGTTGTCACTTTAGGAAGATCAAAAGATTCAGCTTATATAAATTATAAAAAGAAAGTAAAATTAGATTGATTATTCTTTTATGTACAATATATATAAGAATTGATTCATTATGAATAAATATATATTTTAATCATTCAACAAAATAATCATAGTCATAAATTTATGGAGCATTAATTGGTGATCCATCAATCTCATACAATAATTTAGTAACATTTTCTTATAAAAAATTGGTTTACTTTTTAGATTATCTAATTTATGGAATGATTATCTAAATATTATTATTTTATTTGATTATACTTTATTTTCATCTACAATTTAATAATATTCCTATAATTATCCTATAATATGTTATAATTTTAAGGCTAACTATTCTGAACTGATTACCGCTTTATTTTAACCATACTTCTCGGCTACTCTAGCTAAGGCTTCAACGAATTCTTAATAACTCATTTAAATTTATCTATCTTAATTGATTTCATCTAAAACTAAAGGGACACTTAATGCAAATGCTATCAATACATTTCTCTCTGCATTTACATCATTTATCAATCCTGCTCTATTGAATAATTCTTTAAATGATTATGGAGATACAAAAATCTTATTTGTAAAATAATTTAATTATCTCATTTAAACACATTCCTAATACAACTATCTAAGAATTGACTAATTATTCTATATCACTCTATTACATTCAATACTCCAATAGTATACATCACGCCAAGTCTATGATTCTTATACACTCTCAATCTTCTTCTATAATCCATCCAATTCATAAACCTTTTATAGAGCTTCAATTGGACTCATTAAATGAGGAGTTTTACAATATTTATCCATTGACATTCTAACTAATATCTCTATAAATTAATGTCTCAATAATGCATGTGAAGTTGAAGTTCTCGTCTAATTTATATATTTGGATGTTGTCTATCTAAATGATATATCCAAATCTTTTAAAAGATATGATTTATTATCAACAAATGAAGATTAAAATATGTCAGTAAAAACATTTAATGAAATACTCCAAATTTCACCACTTGGAGAATAAGCACTATAATGTCTATAAGCTGACACCAAATCTCTATATATTCTATGTAAATACTATTTAACTTATATTAATTGATCCTATTCTTTTATTAATTTTGCTAATTAAGAATTATTCCAATCCCATTCAAAACAATCCGAAAATTCTTAATCAGAATCACGATGACATTCTTTAAAAAAATTTTCTGTTTAATCAATGTTTTCTTCTACCGAATCATCAATTATAAGATCTAATATTCCACCATAATCTTTTATTCTAGGTTTACAATGAACACTAGGTTCATAATGTAATTCATCAAAAGATTATTTTTATCCCAAAACTATTTAATTACATTATTTAGGTCTTCGAAATGTTAGAGGTTTCTCATTAATCATATAAAACAAAACTTTCTTATTCTATTCTGCTTTAGGCCAATCAACAATATCATATTAACTACTAACTTGAGCTTATTTTAATAAAGGACTTGAAAAGAAAAAACGAATTGGCTATTTTGATGGTACCATTCTTTATACATACCATATTTTATAAGAATTTGATTTTCGAGACATTGGTGATCTTTCTCTTTATTCATCATCCATCAATTCTAATTTTATTGGAGCATATCTTTCATGACTTAAATGGATGAATAAAGGTTCCTTTTTTATATCTAAATGATTTGGTTGCCATAGAAAAGTGCATTCTACCCAACCATCACATATCCAACATACCTCATTATAAAATTACGATTATCTTTAAATCTATTTTAAACCATCTATTCTTGGAATTTAAAGCGCTCCAATAATTTCTGATTGATATTCTTCATTTTTCTTTAAAATTATATCTTTTTATTCTATCGTTGATTTTGTAATATTTAGAAATCCTAGATGATCTATTGAACTATGAAAATTGCCTGAAAAATGAAATCCAAATATATTATGATTATCTTCAAGTGATTTTGAAATAGCTTCTGATTGAGATTGGTTGAATTAATTATTAGAGAGATCTAGATGTATAAGATTACAATTCTTGGAAGAAAAGTAATCTGACCAATTTTAATTTGGCTATGATCTATTTTTTTAAGGAGATTAAGCATCATCTTTAAATCTGATACCAAGAGAATTGAATGATAAATCTAATACTTTTACATTGTAATTAATAAAAAGTGCTGCTATAATATACTAGCCTCAATCATTATTTAAAATAATATACCTCCAATTTAATGAATTCGATTCCAGTGTAAATAAATTTCACTAAGAGTTACATTCTTTTATAATAAACAATTAAATTCTGGCATAGATTTATCAGTAATTAGATTATGGGAAAGATTGAGTTTTTACATTATTGTGTTTTCTTAAAGCATTTTGAATAATTGTCTGCAACCATCATCATTAAATTTATTGTTTTCTAAATTTAGATACTGCAATTAGCCATATCTTGTATTTAGAGCTTTTACAAATTCTTATCCTCCTTAACCCAAACTATTCCCTTATAAATTTAAACCCTTCAACTTTGTTGGAATCAATTAATTTAGACATTCACTAGATCTACTTGTAAGATTGTTGTTTTTCAAATTAACTTACTCATAATAATCCAGAGTTAATTTTATACCTGAACACAAAACTTTTGCATATTTATCTCCCATACAAAAATTAGATGCATCAAGTATTTTATTGTTGTTTGTGTTTGGACGAATCAAACCAAGAGTTCTAGGCATTAATTTCTATTAATATGCTTATAAAATCAATATATTACTTCTGATTTTGAAGATTCTGCCNCCATTCTTTATACATACCATATTTTATAAGAATTTGATTTTCGAGACATTGGTGATCTTTCTCTTTATTCATCATCCATCAATTCTAATTTTATTGGAGCATATCTTTCATGACTTAAATGGATGAATAAAGGTTCCTTTTTTATATCTAAATGATTTGGTTGCCATAGAAAAGTGCATTCTACCCAACCATCACATATCCAACATACCTCATTATAAAATTACGATTATCTTTAAATCTATTTTAAACCATCTATTCTTGGAATTTAAAGCGCTCCAATAATTTCTGATTGATATTCTTCATTTTTCTTTAAAATTATATCTTTTTATTCTATCGTTGATTTTGTAATATTTAGAAATCCTAGATGATCTATTGAACTATGAAAATTGCCTGAAAAATGAAATCCAAATATATTATGATTATCTTCAAGTGATTTTGAAATAGCTTCTGATTGAGATTGGTTGAATTAATTATTAGAGAGATCTAGATGTATAAGATTACAATTCTTGGAAGAAAAGTAATCTGACCAATTTTAATTTGGCTATGATCTATTTTTTTAAGGAGATTAAGCATCATCTTTAAATCTGATACCAAGAGAATTGAATGATAAATCTAATACTTTTACATTGTAATTAATAAAAAGTGCTGCTATAATATACTAGCCTCAATCATTATTTAAAATAATATACCTCCAATTTAATGAATTCGATTCCAGTGTAAATAAATTTCACTAAGAGTTACATTCTTTTATAATAAACAATTAAATTCTGGCATAGATTTATCAGTAATTAGATTATGGGAAAGATTGAGTTTTTACATTATTGTGTTTTCTTAAAGCATTTTGAATAATTGTCTGCAACCATCATCATTAAATTTATTGTTTTCTAAATTTAGATACTGCAATTAGCCATATCTTGTATTTAGAGCTTTTACAAATTCTTATCCTCCTTAACCCAAACTATTCCCTTATAAATTTAAACCCTTCAACTTTGTTGGAATCAATTAATTTAGACATTCACTAGATCTACTTGTAAGATTGTTGTTTTTCAAATTAACTTACTCATAATAATCCAGAGTTAATTTTATACCTGAACACAAAACTTTTGCATATTTATCTCCCATACAAAAATTAGATGCATCAAGTATTTTATTGTTGTTTGTGTTTGGACGAATCAAACCAAGAGTTCTAGGCATTAATTTCTATTAATATGCTTATAAAATCAATATATTACTTCTGATTTTGAAGATTCTGCCACACTACTAAATAAAGACATTTTCTGATTCTGATAGAGAGTTTTCTTCTATAAAATAGTGTCAATTTTCTTATAGATATTTCTGAAGGTTTAAGGAGCTGCTGAATCAAATGGTTTAATATTGTAGGCATTAAATTCAAGTTAATCATCTTGAGTCTGGATTTCGTCAAATTCCATTAATGATGGAAATTTTTGTTTAACCTTCTTGACTTTGATTTTACTGTTATTCTAAGATCTAGATGATTTCATGCCTTTCAATTATCTAAATGTATCATTAATTGGAGGTATTAATTGAAGTGGAGTAAATTTAGACTATGGTTCATATTAGCTTGGAGCATCTTTTTTGTTTATTGAATTTTCAATATAAGGTTAAGCTGATTTTTACATGAATTTATTTATATATTATATATAATAATAATCAATCTTCTTCTTGTATAGGCAATCCTTATAAACTAGACTTGATAGCAGTCAATTATTTAGAATTGATTTGTGGGTTTTTCTCTAAAATAGTTTAACAACGCTTCCAAATAAAGTAAGCTGCTTTTGGTCTGTTAAGTAATTTATTAGCATTAGCCATTTAGTTTAACGAAAACACCAATTTAGAATGTTCTTAACCGCATAGTTTTTCATAGATTAATAATGCATTAGAATGTTATTGAATAGATTATTCATATTTTCCGATATTGAATAAAGCACAACCTAGATTGTTATAGGAGAGTGCTTAGTATTAATTAAGAGGGCCTAAAAGTACTTAACTGATTTCTCCTATTAATTGAAAATAATACATAGCTTATTATTCCTAAATAGGAAAATAAAGAATACCTTTTTAGAGGAGAGCAAGAGACGTCCTTTTTCATTAATTGAATCAATAGTTTCAAAATTATGTAATCCAAAGGCCTTGATTTTCATCTTATAAGCCTAATCATGATATTTTTATGCTTCTTGGACAAGATTCTAACTAAAATTAATTTTAGCAACAAGTTCCATAGCAATAGCAATATCAGGATGATCACGTGGCAACAACATCTCTCTTTGCTGTAAACAACTAACAACTAATTAACATTTGATTTACATACTCTAATGCAAAATCTAGTCCATATTTACTTCTATCTGTATCCATATATAGTCTAGCTTTAAGAAACAGAATATTAGTTTTGAGTAAATCATTTTGAAGTGATGGATTGAGTTAATTAGCTAATTATTCAGCTTAATTGATTGAGATTTCAGCATCATCATAAATACACCAAGCTCTTTAAGAATTGGCAATATTAATAAAGATCTCAATTTTATAATGAGTTAATTAATTTGGCACAACATTCAAGAGTCTTTTTAACAAATGAATTGAATCAAGATATCTAATCTATTTAAGAGATATTTTTGTACCGACAGAGCCAAAAATTGATCCTCTAATATGTAAGGATATTCAATATAAATAGATTCATATTTGCAAAATCTTTTAGATAAAAGAAAGCACATTGAACACATTCTTTTGAGATATCTAATAAACTTAACTTCAAAGCCACACTTCCATACTCAGTATAAAATGCAGCTAAAAATTCAATATTATATGCTCTTTTTTGAAATACCTTAAAGGATGGATCATAAGTCTCAAGATCCCTTCCTAATTACTTAAGTTGTTCATAGGCTTTTTTGTATTGACCCTTAAAATTTTACTCCTGAATTTATTTTAATGATTGCTCTAAAACATTCATTATTTATAATTAAAATATTGTATTGCAATCATTATTTTATAATTAATATATTGTCAATCAATGTAAATAAGCTTCCTTTATAAGTGAAATTAACATCTAAACTTAAACCTGGTCCTTTAATTATCAATTCAATTGCTCCATTATCTAAATATTATTCAGCAAATTTTTATAATTTCCCATAGATTGCAAATTTAAATGGTAATTGTATACTTGGTTATGCAAAACCCAAATCATACTAAATCTTATCTACTTCTATTTAAGCTTAAGCATTCTCTAACAATTACAAATATAATAATATTTGACTTAAATATTTTTATTATAAAAAGAAAGGCAAAATTTCCTATTTGCATAACTTAAGATTTTCTAGTAATTTTAGAGCATCTTTTTGAAATTCTGCTTTGCCTTATACTTCTAAATTCATTTAATACACAGCATTAGAAATACTCTCACTTAATTTTTAAATTGATAAATCAGTCTCAATAACTAACTCAACCTCCTCTCTTTCTTACGATCTTTCCATAATCTCTTTAATAAATTAACAAATCTCCATGAACTCCTATAATTCAACTTAATTAGCATATTTAAATGTTATATATGCATAATGTTCGTCAACATGATAACTAAGTGCAAAGGTAGGCTTCAAAAAATCACGAATTTATTTCCTAAGATCTTCTACATTCTTTATTACACAAATGATGTTAAAATAGTGTAACAGCTTTTACACCTTTCTTTGAATTCACTATCAGCAGTTTTTACATCAATGTTACTCTTTACTTTTAATTTAAGTACTATTTCATAATCTTCACTTTTTGTTTAGGAGTAATGTATTTTCAAACACATATTCTTTTCTATCACTTTTCCCAAAATTATCTTAAAATCATATTTGTTTCCCTATTGATTCATTATTTAATTAACTGATTCTCAATTCAAATGAAAGCTTTCCGCTATTAAGTTACTCTCAATATTAGCAAAGTAGAGCTCTCTGTTAAATTTCCTTGTACTTTATAAGTTATGTGGAAAAGAGGACTCAACAAATGTTTAACAAGAACCAAAGAAAAAACTAGAAATACTTTTATTGTTAACGAAGTACTTACTCTTGATTTCAATGTTGCAGAAAACACTTAAAAAAAAACACATCTTATCACTCTTCTTAATGTTGATGGATAATCAAAACTTGCTGGAGTTGTTAATTTTAATATTAATGAAACTATGCCAATTGAAGGATAATGTGCACTTAATCTAGAAAGAAGTCCTGATCCTAATGCTAAAATATACTTTACATATCAAGTTGTCAATCTAGGAGAAACTGATCTTAGTGATAGTAGAACCAGTGAATCATTTCATCAAAAAACACTTGCAGAATCATTCGGTTTTGAAAAAGAGAATCAAAATCAAAAAATTCTTAGTCAAAAGAAATCTTCCACTTAATAAATATCCAATTATGAAGTTTAATTAACCAAAGAATTATATGAAAAGAGTCTTAAAGATCTTGATCAATAAAAAATTAAAAATTCATAACTATTAGATTAAATTAATCTATTATCAAATGAAAAATCAACCTATACTGATGAACTTAATAAATTGAAAAAATAAATTATCTAACTTTAAAATGAAAATTAATATCTAGAAGAATAATATGAATCATCTAAATAAGAAATTATTAAATTCAAAGAAGCTGCTCAATAAATGACTTAACTTTAAGTATTGAATGAAAAAATGAATCATGAAATTGAAAATTATAAAATTCAAAATTCTATCTTAGAAAATAAATACTAACAAACATTCAAAAAGGCTAAACAATTAGAAGAAAAAGTTGAATTTTCTCACTTTAATAAAATTGAAAGATCTACTAACACTTAATTTAATGAAATCCCAGAATATGTTTAATAGAATAATACTATAGCATAATTAGATGAATAAGTTAAGGAATATAAGAGAAAAAATGATAAAATTACTTATGAGTTGCAATTCACAAATAATAAGTTAAAGACTTTAGAATAAGAATTATCATAAATGAAATGCTAAGTGATTCAATATCAAACTTAATAGACTCAATTAAAAGATTAATGTAACAAATATGAAACTGATAATACTAAATTAAAGATGTTGATCAAATAATTGGAATAGGATTAAAATAACAAAGAAAAGATCTAAAATAAAAGTTGCATTGACTTTCAGAAATAAGTTGACTCATTAAAAGATCAACTTAAATTGAATACTGAAAAAGTATCTAAGAATATATATTTATTTTTTTTAGTTAGAGTAGGTGAAGGAGAAGTACCAATAAGCAAAAGAGCGCATTGAAAAATAAAATGATATAATTGAATAATAGAATGATGAACTCACTATGCAAAATATGACATTTCTTAAAGAATTATAATTAATTGCAAAAAGGTAGGAATAATTTGGAATAGTTTGAAATTTTTACTTTTTAGTTATTTTTTGTTTTATTTATTAATTATCCGTTAAAAATGCTCAAAGTCTCAAATAAATCTAGAAAGAATGAATAATTGGACACGATATAAATTATAGATAAATGTACAAGTATTAGTAATTGTTGTGTATGGTAGAAATAATGAAAGAAGATCGTTTATAATTAAGGTAAATGGTCAAAGATGAAAACTTGAAGTTAATTGAATTAATAACTAAACATAAAAAAAAAAATGATCTCAATGATTTATAATCAGAATTAAGAAAGTTTTTAAAAGATAAAAAAGGATCTCCTGAAAGAGTTTAAGGAGCACCAGTTGTTTTAAGAAAGGTGAAATCAAAAGAAAGATGTGAATGGAATACTTCAATAAGTTCAAATCCTTCAATAAGATCGCCTAGTAGATCTAATTTAGATTTTAAGAAGAAATAAAAAGAAGAATCATATAAAAAAATGGAATCTTTAAAAAAATAAGAGAAACTAGAAAATTAAATTTTTTAAAAGGAAAATGATGATAATAAAATCTTAGATGAAATATAAGAGGTAAAACCAGAGTAATAAACTGTTTTATTCAACTCAGCAAATTCAATAGTCGATCCTTTTTAAGAAGATTTGACTCCTGTAAAGATGGAATTTTAGACAATTGTATCTTAAGTACCCTTAAATTAAAGTGATTAAAGAAGCGAGTGTATTTTACAATATAATGCAGCTGATATTTAGAATTATATGCAATATGATAGACATTATATATCAAAAGAAGCATACAGTTTACCTTAATTAATTAGTTTAAATTATAAAGAAATAGCACCTTCTAACTATCAAAACTTATTTACAGATTGGAATTCTCTTCTTAATCTGTAATAATCTAAAACTGATTAATTTTAAGAGTCAAAAAATGTTGAATAATCGAAATCTATAAATTTGAAAACAGATCAATCCCAAATAGTAAAGAGTTTAGAAATTCGTGGAGTTACAGCAGAAGAACTATTTACATACTTAGTTCATCATCGTTTTACTAAAAGATTGAATTAGTATTAATTAATTGAAAATGCTAAAATATCAATTCCAAATGCATTATTAGATTTAGAATCTTTGTTTAATATAGCTGATGTTGATTAAGACGGATGGATTACTATAGAAGAATTGGGTTAAACTTTATCTTAAACATGTATAGAGAAAGAGTAACATATAAATCCAATTAAGGGATTCTATGTTAGATTGAATGGAATAGTAAACATGGAGAATTTTATAAATTCAATGAATGATCGAATATAGGCAGAAATGTAATAAATTTTTTAAATATTCTAGACTTTATCATGAAATTGATTTATTTAGTAAGGGTATTATTACATATTGGGAAATGTATAACCATTTTGAAGAAATTGAAAAGCTACTTAAATGATGAAAATTTTAATTATATTATAATTTTAAAGTCTCTTTAAAAGGTTTCTTGTTTCTTTTTTGTATCTTGTTTATTAGGTTGCATTTATCAATCTTTATAAAAAATTAGGAACTAACATACTTTTAACAGTTAATATATTTTAAAATAACAAGAAAGATAAATTAAAATATTTTCATTTGTTCTATATATATTATTAAGAATAAATCTAAACATTTCTATTTGCTAATATGTTATTACTCTTAAAATATTAAATAAGAATATTTGATTATTTTGAAATGAAGGTGTTAAAAGAAAATAAGAAATAAGAACCCATATAGCATTGAGATAACAGGGTATCCAATAGATATAAATGAAATTTATAAAAAGGAAAATTTAAATAAAATATTGGTATTATTGAGAATTTAAATGGATTATAAATAATCACCTAAACATAATTTTGTAAAATAATGATGTTAAATTAGACAAGCTTGTCTTATTATATCAAAAGACGACTATACTAACTAAAGATTTTTAATTCTATAAATTTGCAAAAATTATGAAATATTATAAAAATTAAGAGACCTTGTGATCAAAGTGTAGAATATTTGGAAGAGTTAGGTTGTTGCTTTAAGAAGTTATTAACTAAAAACTAGAACTATGGATTTGGTTATTAAAAATAGAGAAATTTAAAACAATTAAGTGGAATTTCAATAGAGATCATAAAAAGCTTTGATCGATAGAATGTATACGTATAAAATGGAAGAGTCCTATTAGTGAGTAATTAAAATTATTATAAAAAAAGAAATGAACCGCCGTTTTTTAAATTATAAATATTATAACAAAAAGTTATGATTTTAAACCAAAAATTTGAGTATATTATAAAATAATAATTTAAATTTGAAACACAAAAAATGTTCATTTAAAATTAAGAATTGAGCGGCAATACTAAGACTCAAACATTCACACCTCTATCAAATGTGTAGGCAAGTTAAGCAGAAGTCTAATTGAACGATTGTGAAGAGCCTCTTTTGAAACAAAATCCAAATAGATTTGTACTATTTCCCATTAAATACAATGATATTTGGAATATGTATAAGTAACACAAAGCAAGTTTCTGGACAGCAGAAGAGATAGATTTGTATTAGGTACTTTAATGAAATAATAAAATTTTAGGATCTTAAAGATTGGGAAAGACTCACTTCTGATGAAAAACACTTTATTAAATATGTACTTGCTTTCTTTGCAGCAAGTGATGGTATAGTGAATGAAAACTTGGCTTAATAATTCTGTACAGAAGTATAAGTTCCAGAAGCCAGATGTTTCTATGGATTTTAAATCGCTATGGAAAATATTCATTCTGAAACTTATTCTCTTTTGATTGACACATATATAACTGATGAAAATGAAAAAAACTATCTTCTTCATGCTATAGACAATGTGCCTGTAATTTAAAAAAAAGCAATGTGGGCAATGAAATGGATAAATGATAATGATTCATTTGCAGAAAGATTGATTGCTTTTGCTGCTGTTGAAGGCATATTCTTTTCTGGTTCATTTTGTGCTATATTCTGGATCAAAAAAAGATCATTAATGCCAGGACTCACATTCTCAAATGAATTAATTTCAAGAGATGAAGGTCTTCATACTGATTTTGCTTGTCTTCTTTATAAACATTTGGTAAATAAATTAAGTAATCAACGAATTCATGAAATAATATCATCAGCTGTTGAAATTGAAAAAGAATTTATTAGTGAAGCTTTACCAGTTGAATTAATTGGAATGAATTCTAATTTAATGAAACAATATATTGAATTTGTTGCTGATAGATTAATATTTGCTTTAGGAGCTCCTAAAATTTACAATTCAAAGAACCCTTTTGAATGGATGAATATGATATCTTTATAAGGAAAAACAAATTTCTTTGAAAGAAGGGTTGGAGATTACTAAAAAGCTGGAGTAATGGGTAAAAAATAAGACAAAGTATTTACTATGGATGCAGACTTTTGATTAATACTAATTTATTTAAGCTATTTTATTAAATTTATAAATTTATTTTCAATATTCTAAAATTATGCAATACTATCATTCACTTAAACGATTGCTCAAGAATAATTGGAGGTATCTATGTGAATAATTTATTTTTTAATTCTATTCTAGCATAGAATATTAATAAGCACTTAGTATAACATAGCCAGAGCTAAAACTGCTTGATTCTTAAAACCAATTATTCCCATATCAAATTCATATTTTTTAAACTTGAAAATACATTATTTAAATAATATTTATATATTAAATTGAAGAAAACTAGGAAATTGGAAATTGATATTTATAACCCAATTGTTAATTAATCATTTGCTCATTATTCTAAATTTCAATCAATCTTCAGCATTCACTTTGAGATCCATCATCATTAATTACTTTTTTTGATATTTTACTTTTAATGAAATTAAATTGATCTTCATTTTATCTGGTCTTCTCTCTTTTTTATTCTATTTGAATGGCAGATGAGTTTTTTTTACTCTTTGTTAGTTTTAGACATTTATATTTTTAGAATCAAAACCTAATCTTGAATATTAAAATTATTAAAACAATATTAATTTTAAATAAAATTATTGCTATTTTGTGAAGCATAACTTTTCAATTAAATTTATTCTTATTTCTAACAATTATTGCTGTATTTATTATATGTATGCAAATTGCTCATTATTCAATTTATTATTTGACATTCAAGCTTGCACTATATAGTATTTTATTATTTTATTTTAATTTTTTTTGTATATAAAATTTGCATTTTCTTGAAGTTAGAAGTTGAATAGTATTAAATTTAAAAGAATAAAATGAAATCATAAACTAATTTTTGAGGTTTTTCTATGCAATTTCCTTTCTTTGTGATATATTCTTTAAGAATTTGATAATACTTATATTTAAGAATTATTTCGTAGATTATTTTTTTGTTACTCTCTTTTTCTTGGACTTATTTAAATTTTTAATTTTTAGATTTATCATCCCTTAAAATTTGTAATATCTAATTTATTTATATAGTAAATAAGTATATTAATTCTAAAAAGGAAGATCAATAAATCATGAGAATGAAAATAAAGTTTCTGCGCTTTCCATTTAATTGCAATCGATATACACTTTTTACACTTTTTTTTTATATTGTTAAATGATACTATCCTCCTAAAAAATTGTGTTTGAATAAATAGAATATCATTCATTTATTTAAAGATTTAAAAATGTAATTTTTAATTTAGAAAAGATTTTATTACAGACAATTAAGTGCATTTTAAATTAGCAAAATAATATAAATCTTAAGATTCACATTAGATTTGATAGAGAATAGTGAAATATATAAGGTTAAATCAATATATCTATTTAATATACTTTTATATGAAATTAATATTCTAATACTCATTTTTTACCTCCTCCCCCTACATTAAATTTGAAGAAACAGATGTCTCCATCTTCAACAACATATTCCTTACCCCATTGTCTATACTTACCTTCAGCCTTAACTGCTGTTATTGTACCCAAATTTACAAAATCTTCATACTTCATAACTTCTGCACAAATAAATCCTTTTTCAAAATCTGTATGAATAACTCCAGCAGCTTAAGGTGCTTTTGTACCTGCTCTAATAGTCCAACATCGGACTTCATCTTCTCCAGCAGTAAAGAAATATATTAAATCTAATGCTTTATAACCTGTTTTAATGATTCTTGGTAACATAGATAATTTTTATCTTTCTTATGTAATTGTACCAGCTTAAGATCTTTGCATATATAATAATTAATTACTCTTCAAATATAGCTTTTTCTAAATCTGCACTATATGGAATAATATCTCCTGGACAGTTTCCATCGACCCAATCTTTAATTCCTTTCAACCATTTATTCTTTCTTGTTTAGAAATCTTATTGACTTAAATTCACCAAATAAACAACATTCTTTGCTGTGATGAAATAATATTTGTTTAATATTTCAATCTCTTTAAAATTCCAATCCCCTGTTCTCACCCATTTTTTATTATCCAACAATAATTTAACCTTATCTAAAACTTCTTTTTCTTCTCTAGCATCTTTATTATTATTTCTCTTTATTACGTGTTCCGTCTCTGCTAATCTATTATTACAAAATTCTAAATCCTTTAACAACAATTCAGTTGAAATAATGTCCATATCTCTATATATATATTTTCTATTCTACCTTATTGGATCTACTGACAATTCAGTATGACAAACATTCTCATCTTCAAATGCTCTTACAACATGATAAATTCCATCACATTCTTTTATATGTGATAAAAATGCATTTCCTAAACCTTCTCCTTTATGCGCTCCTGGTACCAACCTATTTTTATTATTTTATATATAAATACCCAGCAATATCAACAATGCTTAACACTGCCTAAATCTCACTTTTTGGTTTATGCATTTAGCATAATTTAATAAATCTCTCATCTGGTACAGGAACTTTAGCATTATTAGGATCTATCGTGCAAAATGGATAATTTTCTGCTGGAACATTCAATTTACATAAAGTATTAAATGTGGTCGATTTTCCTATTTTTCATTAATTGCATTCCTTACCAACATTTGCCATACCTACTATACCCATCTTAAGAGTATTACTGGGTCTTCCCAATTTATTCTTCTTCTCTTCATGTTATTCCTTTTTAGGAGGCATTTAAATCTTTTTATATATATAATATTAAACTCATTGTCCTTTCTACTACAAATCAGATTATGATTGTTATTATTTTAATGAGTTTTGAGACTTTTTACCGAAGGTTACTTTAGAATCATAATTACTCTTAAACTAAATCTATGTAATTGGCTTTTCTTTCTAAAATTAAATGCTACTCTTATATGCATTCGAATTAAATTATGCACATTAATTTTAAATCTTTTCTTATGACATCCTCTAAGAATCGAGATGAGAAATCCCTGCCTAAGGTTCATTTTTTAGTTTATCATTATCCTCATTTAAGGATACAATTTAACTCTTGAGTTAATCTATTTACTTATCTTTTCTATCAATTTCAAACTTATGTTGTTTGAGTAAACAATTGTATTTCTGCTAGACTATTTCTAATTGTTATTTCACCTACAGATGTTATTCTTACATCTCTGCTAATTCAATAACAGCTTTTTATTCCCTATTATTAGCTTCTTGTATTTATGATCTCAGATTCTGAAGTATCGCTTTTGATTTTATTAATAATCAATTACATTCTCTTCTTTAATTCTATTCAAATAAAATATCCTAATCTCTCTTTACATTTTCCACTTCTGCACTCTTCTATTTAAGTTCTCTCATTAATCTGTTTATGTCTTCCTTATATTTCTCTTCCATATCCTTACGTCTCTCATATTCCTATTATAAACTCTAATACTCCTCTCTCGTAACTTAAAAACTTTAACCAAAAATATTCTTACTCATCATCATACTCTCACTTTAATTTGTTGGCCTATTTTCTTCACATTCAGCACTCTCAGACTTCCAAGTCTTTAACTTATTAAATATGATTACTTCATTCTTTTTTTAATCATTTTAGAATGAATTAATACGATCATCTCTCATCTCAAATGTTGAGTCCCTTTAAAATAAAGCATTAATTTGTTCAACAGACATATAAACAGGTTGATTATTCATATATTAAATATATTATATTTATATTTTATTTTTGTATTACAATCTCAAACAACAAATCTACTTTTGTAATTAATAATTTTTTATTTATAAGAAATAACTTTATTATTGATTTTTCACTCTATTAAGACTTTCACTAAATATTTTCTTTTTTAAACTTGTGATTTATACAAATTATTTTTATATAAATTTAATTATCAAGTTTTTCCTGTCATAATTGAGAGTTAGTTATATCAAATGGAATCAATTTATTAAAATAAAATATCAAATCTAAACTTAATGGAGTTACTAACAAATGCTATTCAGTATACTGTATAAAGAAATTCTTTTCATACAATTATAAAAATTAATTTTTATTTGATAGTTTCAACTCAATTTAAAGATAATTATCAAAATTTTTAACACATATTTCATTAAAAATATTTTAAGAGTACTCCAAATCTTAAATTATATTAAAAACTTGAATAAAGAAAATTTTGAGATATTAAGCATAAGTTTTCAATTTTATGATCTTATTGCCATTTAAATTCAAATTCACTTTTCCAGAAAAAACATACATGTTTAAAAACTTATTCAATAATTTTACAATATTTATCGTCTTTATTTTATATTGACCTAACATTAAAATTGACATTACACCGAATTTAAATTACAAATTAAAAAGTGTTTTCTTACTTATCAAAAATTATTCGAATAATTAACTTCTTACAAATGAAGGAACTTTTTTTTATTTTGCATCCAACTTCAAATTCTCTAAAATTAATATCAAACTATTATCGGTATTAAATTAACAAAGTCGAATTTTTATTTTTGTTCTTTACATGATTGCAATGCAATTCTCCTTTAAATTAGTTTAATCATGAATTATCCACTACTCTAATGCTCTATCGGCAATCTTACAATTTCTAATAAAATTTCTGATATTACACCCAAAACAAAAATCTTGATTATAACCCAAAAATTAATGTTCTTAATTAACCTAATGCACATCAATTTACAGCTTCTTTTCATTATAAAAAATTTTTGTAAAAGGTTTATTGATTAAAGTTTGTAATTGATAGTTGATAGTATCTTCTTTAAAATTCATTAAAAATTGCTATCTTTATGCTCTATTGCATATGTAAAGTATATTTATTAAAAATATTGCAGTAGTTAGAGTGAGACCTAATCCTACATAATCAAATCTATCTGCATATAAAGTAGTCGCTACAAATCTAAATATCAAATGTAATATAACAGAAGGGCAACTCAAATAAAAATCTGTTGCAAAATAGGTAACTGCCTATATCAAAGAATAGCTACTTCCATATAAATAATATTCTTATCCATGTATATTAGTCGCAGTGAAATTTAACTAAAGAAACAAGACATAAGCATTTTCAATAGTCATCATTTTCTATGTTAATGTTTCTTTTTTATAGACCACATAAAAACCAAGTAGTGATATTGCTAGAAATCCTATATTAATAAATGGTAGTTAAAAAGACTCTCTAATTGTTACCTTAATTATGTAAATTGTATTTAATAATAATGACATTGAAAGGAGACCATAATAGAGAGGCTTAAGTAATTTTTATATCGACTGTTATTAATATTTTAATTCCATATCTGGAGTCCTAAATTATAATGTAAATTTATTCATCAAGTCCATTTTTTATTCTTATTAACACAAAAAATTATTAAAAATCTTCTAACATATTTGATATTCAATTAAATAACAGAAAAAACAACTATATTAAAATTTTTGAGAGCTTTATCCTTCTAAGTTTATATGAGTTCAATTTATAACATTGAATTAGATTTGCTATTTTAAGATTATTTTAGAAACGAATACCATTAATTAATATTTGAAAATAAATAAATTTTGAGTATTCACATAACTTTAAATAAATATGTAATTCAATACAATTAAAAATTAATTAAAAAATTTTATTTTATGATTTAACATAGTTATAATTTTTTACTTTTCAGGAAATGAACTAGTAATATTCTAATTTCATTTGACTTCTGATATTCAAACTAATAAAGTAAATATATAGATTATATATAATATATCATAGATAATTTAGTTAGTCATCTTTTAATGATACTATATTTAATAAGTGAAGCTCTAATAATTTTTTCTTTTTGTATGATATCATTAGGCATATATGACTTGTATATTTTTCTATAGAACTGAAAAGATTTGTTCAATTGATTGACTAAGTACATTTCTGCTATCGTTATAAAAACTAAAAGTTAAAAAACAACCATAACAATTAACAATACAAGTATAAGGGTAGTGTATTGATCAATTAGATTTCCTAAATCTTCAGACCAAGAAGTTAGTAAAGCTTTGAAGGCAGACTTAATATAATCTATAGCTATGTTGTATTACCATATGGTTTCTAAATTAATCTAACCAAATCGAGTTTCTTTATTTAAAACATAATCTTAATATAATATTGAGAGATACCTTCAGTAACAGATGAATACAATTAATTAAATGCTACGACTCCTTGTTTTAGTTTTCCATTTAGAATTGTTTAGCAATCTGCAGCAGCTACAGTATCCAAATAAGAATTATCAACTAGAAATTAACATAAATTGCCAAAATATATAGATTGAAAGCTTGTATAATATGTACCATAATTTGGATTTTCAATAGAAGGAGTACTTTTGATATCAGCAATTTACTCTTCTAGAATTGTAGAGATTTGTTCTAAACAATTTTGATTATATTGGTCAGGATTAAAATATTTCTCTTTTACTGAAACCAATAAGAGCTAACTATCACTAAAATCTTGTATAGAATCAGAACCAGTACTAATTAATAGGGTTATTTGTTAGGAGGAATTGCTTAATGTTAAAAAAAACACTAAAGAAGCAGAAGATGAAAACAAAACATATAAGATATAGATAAAAGACATTTTAATGGTTAATTTTTTTAGTAACTATTTTTCGAGAATTTATTTGTCTTTTCTTTTAGTAAGGTTTTAGTCTTCAACTTCATTAATAAGAAGGAAATTCTATTATTATTAATAATTAGTTTTAGTAGTAATTTATAATCTTTTATCATTTAATTAAAGTATTCCAGATATTTCATCATCTTTATTCAATATATATTAAAATTAAGTTTAAACGAACTACTATTATTTGACAATCTTATTTAGATCGTTTTTTTTAATCATCATGAACATTTTTAAAACTGCTTTAAAAGTCTGACAAATCCATAAAATGATTAGTAATAAGCCACAAAATCCAATAATAAATATGCAAGATTCTAAGATGAGTATAATGATAACAAAATCTGACATTGAACTTGCTTTATTGGTTAGAAGATCTTCCAAAATCATAACAGCAGTATTAAATTATAAGTATAATGTTGGAATAGTAACATTTCTAATAAATTTTACCAAAGAATTTGATTCATTCAATTATATTAAATCATTAGGAGATAAAATAGATACTTAATGTTCTATTAATATTATCTTACTAAATATATCTTTGTAATCTAATACAATGGGTATGTTTTGATTTTTAGCAATAGTTTCATCAGTCATTGACTTGCTATAAAAGATTGATTCATCCAAAAATGTTTCTTATAAATTAAGATCTCTAATTTATAATTTAAAATATTCATATCCTTGGTCTATTTATTAAGTTTAATAAGTAAAAAATTAATCTTAAGAATTAAGAGCAACTCCTTAAACTAGTAAATTAGAAAAATTTGCATTTTTATAGAGTAGCAAATCCATTACTGTATCATATGCTTCAAAAATATATGTTTGCATTTGGGACAATTATAATATGCGTGCAGATTATGTTTTAATAGGTAAAAAGTCCTATAATATATATATATTAATGTTACTGAATAAGGTTTAAGGAAATAAGTAATTAAATTTAATGTTAAAATAGTAAGGTACATAAAACGTAGAAACCAAGTCAGATAGGAAATTTTGACAAGTAATTTTCTTGGTTTATTGTTATCTTCTTTTCTAAAAATGTTGTCAAGAACATTTAAAGAGAAACTTTGAGTGCCTTACTGCATTTTAAATTAATTTTAGAATGTTTCCCAATTAATCATTTTCGGTTAATCTTTAAAATCTACAAGTGCATCCTTTTCTTCTAAATCTTCTAGATTATCTTCTTTTTATAATTAATATCCTAATCCATTTGACTTTGTAGCTGTTTTGATTTTGGTATTTGAATTTAAGGGAGAATTTTATTATAAATGAGGTGAAATTATTTTGCTTTCTCCATCACTAGTTAAAGTTAAGTATTTTTAACCATCATTATTCTGTATTGTCTTAAGTCTAGACATTTCTAAATTAGTATTATTATTATAATGTACCTCTAGAAAGTCCTTTATGTAACATCATATAAGATTACTTACGAACATTTTATCTAATTTTATTTTTGAGTATTTCTGAGATATTTGAAACTTTCATTATTCCTATTTTTTCATCTCTAATTTTGTAGAATGAGATTGTGCAAATAATTTTGAATGATTTCACTTTCTATTAATCTTTCAATATATCTTAATAAATCTCTTTTATTAAATCATAATAGCCTTTATCTTCATCATTCTTTCTTCTTTCAGCTGCCTTTTAAAACATTAATCTTGCTCTTTTTTTAAATTCTCTTTATTAAGTTCCTTATTTTAAAAATACTTTTTTCTCATTAACTTTTGCTTTCCCTTTTTCTTTTTCCTTATCTTATTTCTCTTCCAATTTAACATGCTTGAATAATTTAATAATTTTACATCATCTTATTATTTCTTAATTTAATATAATTTATATTTAGATTCTGTATAATGTTTACATGCAGCCAAAAATTTATCAGATAATTTCATATGAAATGATATTGGTTCTCCATTATTCACTTTACCATCCAAAACAAATTATCCTTTTTATTTAACTATTTCATCTCTACTTATATTATCATCACTTATATCTCCTGCATGTGCATTATTATCTAATTTAGTTTAAATTCTTTTATAATTATTTTAAAACTATGTTTCATACATTTTTTTAATTTACTCATCAACTTTCTTATTTTATTATTCATTTATATCTTTTTACATTTCAGAATATTAATCAATTTAATGTTTAAATTCTTAAACATCATTTCTATCACTAACACTACTAGCTTATTATAAAAATTATTTATCATCTGGCACTTCCAAAGATTACATTTATATATAATTTGATGATAAATCAACATCAGATTACAATGCATTTCCACTTTTGCCAGGAATCAAATTATTTGAACCAGAATTCATCATATTTACTTATATTTTAATTTGACCAGGAATATTATTAAAATGTTTAGTTGATTTAAGTAAAGGTTCTTCTTTTTTCTTTTTAATTTTTTACATTCCAAACAATTCTAAATCTGTCTCTTCATTAATTAATTAACATGCTCGACTAAATTAAATTAATTTAGGTGCAAATAATAAAATATTTATTAATGTTTACATTTTTTATTTTTAAAATAATGATTAATCTATTTATAATGATTAAATCACATTTTATGTCATACCATTAATTTCCCAATCTTAATTTAATATTATTACATCATGTTTTTTTTCATTATTTAAATCAGTTGGCCTAATCATAACTACAAATTGTGATTATCCATTTAAATCTACATATAATTTGAGAAATTTTTAGGCAGTAAACATATATCCACTTTTATGAATACAATACACTTTTCTCTATGAATAGAGTGAATGACCCCTTCCAGTTAGTTTATAATCATTCAATAATGATGGATGTACTTTTGAATAAATATCAGGCATTAGTTGAGCTATTAAAAATTTATTTGTGACTTCTTCATGAGTGTAACCAAAGATTTTTGTAAACTATTTATTTACTTTAATTATTAAAGCATCAGGATCATCAGTAGTTTATATAATACATGCTTTTTTATCAAAAATTATTTTCTTGCTTTTTATATCTATTTTCTCTATATCTATTTTTTATTCCTGATCTGATTTTACACTTGCTATATCTTCTTCTAAATTATTTTCTTAAACTTCTTCAGAGAAAATATCATTCTCATTTACTGATAATCCTTAAAAATTATCTAATATTTTATTTTTTAGTTTCTTATTCTAAATATAAAGAGTAAACCAAGCATAATAAAATTTCCATTTTTTTTTGAAATCCAAATAATTTTGAATCTAAACCCATAAATTATTTGTTTATTCAATTTTTTCAAATTAACTTTTAAGTAAATCATCCAATTCTTACAAATCAATTACTTCTTTTTATAAACATTTCCAAAATGCACAATTCTATATCATTATATTATTAATATTCTATTTAATAGTTTCAATTAGATCTTCAATAAATAAAGCATTTTAGATTTCTAATTTTTCTCTATAACTTTCTTAATTCCTATGTTTTACATATCTCATAATTTTCATTTTTAATTAATATGCTTTATATCGATTTATAATAAATAGAAATCGTTTTTCTAAACTATTTAAAATATGCAAAGAAATTTAATGATTTTGAAATTTAAAAAACATATAACGAGCATAAAGTAATTGTAATTCGATAGAATTAGGATTATCCATAAGTTTAATTTCAATCCATGATTTTATTAGAAATTTAATAAATATATTTTTATGAATAAGCCAATCCTCCAACATAGCTTCTTTTCTTTTTTTAGAATCAAAAATTTTTTTTTTCTTACAAAAACATCTTCCTTCACCTTATATAATTGTATGTTTGCATTCTTATTCCATATGTCTTTATAAAATGCCTTTAAAAAATAAATCCACATTTATATCTTAATTAGTAACTTCAAGAAGGGAACTGAGGATAAAGACTTGTCTAGCAAAATCAGTGTCACTTGCTTTTTCATAATTAATATCTTCATAATTGGAATTTCTTAAATTGTAAATAATGCAACAAACTAAAAAAAGGAATGACATAGCAAAAAATAAACTAACATTTTCAAATTGTTATTCAAGTGTGTTATAACGACATATTTCATCTATCATCATTGAAAAGCTAGATGAGACCATGATAATTAACAAAATTAAAAAAGTATTACGTATAATAGAAGTGGCAAAAGCCATGTATCCACTATAAAATAAACAATTTAATAGAAAAAAGGAATAACCTATAAAAATACAAATCAACATTATCCAAAGATATGAGTATTCATTAGATCTTTATTATAATAAATTTAATACTTAAAGGAAATTAAAAAAGCTTATAAAGCTCTAAATAGATGAAACATTGCTAAATAGATAGAATTCTCTGTATTAAAACAATCTTTTTTTTAACTGCTATCATTGTGGAAAAATAAACTCAAAAAAAATATGTTGAAAACTCCAAAAAAGACTCTAATGTATAATTGAATATTACCCTAAAGCAGAAATAACAATCAATATTCTTCTCTCTGAAGCCAATGAACAATCCATAGTAGGGCCACAAACTATGTTTTCAAAAAAGACAACCAAGGCTGGATAATGGAATATCCATATATACCATTCTGATAATTCCACAAATTTCTAGATAGTATATATATTACTTTTCCAATAAACTTTTTTCTTACTCTGTAATCATCTGATTGTAAAACATAAAGAATTAAATAAAGCAAGGTATTACCAATTGTTGCAACTAAAAAGACTGAAAGCATAATATAATTGATTGTAATGTCTTGTCTTAGTAAACCTTGAATGTCAAAGTAAGTACCGGAATCTATTATTTAATCAAGGATAGTAGATTCGGATGAATAATGAATATTTATCACGTTCTTATATCTGTATATACTGATTAAGGTACTATCGAATTTAACTCATTATATGATGAATAAAGGCAACAATTAGCATTATAATAGCCTTAGTGTATGAAGCTTACTTTAATTTCAAAAGATCATTAAACAATTTGAAATGTTCTTCCAAGCCTTTTCCTATTCGCTTCTTTTCTAACTCTCTTTCTTATTATTGTAGAGTGGGTATTACTTATTCTTTATCCATCAAATTAATTAAAATATATATAATTATTAATGTAGGAGTGGTGTACAATTGAGTCTGACCCTGGAGTTTTCACTGAGCTTATTAATGCAATAGGAGTTTAAGGAGTTTAAGTTGAAGAAATCTATGATCTTAATGATGAGTAATAAATAGCCTAAATTCAACCAATTTATGGATTCATATTTTTATTCAGATGGACAAATAAGGGTGAGAAAAGAGAATGTCTCAAAATTTATGATTAAGATCTTTTCTTTGCTAATCAAGTTATCTAAAATGCATGTGCGACTTAAGCCATCATTTCCATTTTACTTAATTGTCCCTAAATTGAAATTGGAGAAGCGCTCAAAAATTATAAAGTAAAAAAAACTATTATTTATTCAGGAATTTGCATTCGCTTTAGATCCCAAAGAAAGAGGTAATTGCCTTGGAGGTGTAGATGTTATAAAGACTGCTCACAATAGTTTTGCTAGACCAGAACCATTTATATTCTCTAATGAAAAGAAAAAAGCTAAAGTATTTGTTTCACTTTATTCTAGGAAGGTGATGATGTCTTTCATTTTGTTTCATATATTCCATTTAAAGGTAAAGTTTATGAATTAGATGGTCTCTAAGAAGGACCTATTTTAATTGGTGAATATTAAGATGATTGGATTGTCAAAGCTAAAGAAGCAATCTTAAAAAGAATATAACATTACTAAGAAAAAGAAACAGCCTTTACTTTATTAGCTGTTAATTAATGTAGAAAATTCAAAGTATCATCGTTTATTTATTTAGGCTAATCAAATTATTGCATAATCTTAAAATGATATACTTTTGAGTCTCAAAAGCTTAGAATTCTTAGGAGTTGATTTAACTGAAGAATAAAAATAATAATTACTTTAACTTTCTAATTAATAAGTAAAATTTTATATTATTCAAGAATATTGAATAAGAATTAATCTAAGAAACTAAAGATGAATTATTAAATAGATTAAACCTTGCCAAAAATAAAATATAAGAGGCACAAATTACACTTAATGAAGAAAATATTAAATTCTAAAAATATAAAGTACTTCTATCCAAATTATCTTTCTTAGGAAGAAAATTCCAGAAGAAAACATAATTACATTCCATTCATTTTAGAACTTTTTAAAATGGCTCAAAGAAAAGGTCAACTTGAAGGATTATTAGAGAAAGCTTAAACAAAACAACAACAAAAATCTTAGTAATAAACAAAAAAATGATATTTTACAAATTTTATAATATGAACAATATATATTTCGAAAATTTTATATTGATCCCTTAATTTAATTTTTTATAGTTTCAATAATTTTTATCTAAACACTCATTTAATTTTATATTCTAAACAAGTATAAATATCAAATAAATTTGTTTTCTCTTAATTTTAATTTTACTTTATTGATTTAATCTTAAATTTAATCCAACTCTTATTCTAACTATTCCCTTTTTCTTCTTTCCAAAGCAGTTTTTGAAATATTAATCTTTTTATTTAATTCACTCTCTAATGATTATTTTTTTATTGTTAATTCATTCAATTAATTAGTCAATAATAATTCTAAATCCTTCTATTACTAAGTCCGAAAGTCAGATGGAAAATTTTAAATTCCTCCTTGATTATAGGTTGTTTACTAAGAATCCTATTTTCCATTTTATTATTTGACTTAAGATTAAGCTATCATCTGATTGAATTATTTAAGACTATTCTACTTTTTAAATTAAGTGTAAGCATTTATTAAATTATCATTTTCTTATAGTTATTCATGTTTAGAACCATTCTAATTAACTGTTTAAAGAATCTATTATTCACTGAGTGATTAATTACTATAAACACTACTCATCATGCTTGTTGCTTCTCTGAATTAAAATTATTAACTTTATTTTTTTTATATCTACTAATATTACTCAAACTATAATAGTAAGGATTTAAATTATTTATCAAGTACAATCTAGAAATGATATAAATAAAGTTACATTTTACTATGAGACATTTCTTGCTTCTTTTTCAAGAAGATCAATTCTAATATAAGCTTCATTTAATCTTAAATTTGAATCTTCTAGTTTGACTTCAGTTTCTTTGACTTTAACTTCTAGATTAATACATTAATTTTTATAATGATTAACTTATTATTTGGCTTCATGAAGTTCTATTAATTTAGAGTCATAATCGATGGGAACTTAAAAACTTGAAAGATGTTATGAGATTTATGATTGTAATTATTGTTAGATTTTTTATTACATCATTAAAAGTTACTATTATTGTTATTATTATTATTATTATTATTGTTATTGATATTTTTAACTTAGATTTTGTATTTCATCCATAGCTTGCATATATTTTTCAAATATTTCATCTCTTTCCTATTAAATAAGATTAAGAATCTTATTAAATTGATTTAAGATGAGATTGATAAGAATAGATTATTCAAGAATCTTTTCATCTCTAATTTTGATATCTTCATCTTTATCAATAACCATTTACTTTAAGTTTTGGAGGTTCTATTCATAAAAAGATATTAGCTAAATTTGAACAGCCTCTTTGTTTTGAGTCTTCAATTTACTTTCAGAATTTGAAATTGGACTGTAATTAGATTATTCAATAGGTTCTGTAACCTGTTTTTATCCACTAAAGAACCTTCTTTATTATTCAGGTTTTTTGTTAGCTTTACCAGAATAGATTTAAAATAAGTTATCCATAGGTTTATATGGAGAAGAGCCTCCTTAACTTAAACATTCAATATAATTAGCATCAAGTTCATCCATTTTGAATTTTTATTTTATATTAGATAATTATATAATTGATATAATTAATCTCTTAATATTAACAGTGTGGTCATAGATATAAAATATAATCAATCTAAATTTTTAGGTTTACCATATTCCCATGAACCTTCTCTTCTGACTCCTTCAGCGTTGATTATAATACCATCTCCATGTTATTTACCATCTTACCAATATCCTTCATATCTTTTACCACTAGCCCATGTAAATACTCCATAACCATTCTTTTTATCATCTGCATATTCTCCTTTATAACTCTTACCATCCTTCCATATACATTCTCCTTAACCTAAAATATATTCTATAATTAAAAATACCATGCATTTTATTATTTAACCATTATCCTTTATACTATTTTCCATCCTTCCAAGTATAACAACCATATCCACATATTTCATTATTCTCAAAATCACCTTCATATTTAGAACCATCCTAAAATTACATATATCCTTATCCATGTCTTTTCCCTTCTTTATATGTTCCTTTATATTCAGTTCCATCAGGCCATGTCTCTTACCCTTCTCCATCTTATAAATCATATTTCCATTATCCTGCATATTTCACTCCTCTAAAATGAATGAAAACTCCATGACCATTAGCCATATCATTCTACCATTCTCCTTCATATTAATCACCATTTACATGCACCAACTTTCCTATTCCTTAAGCTTTGTCTTATACAAAATCTCCTTCAAAATAACTTCCATCTTTCCATATGAATTTCCCTTTACCATCCTTTTTCTAATTCAACCATTCTCCTTCATAACTAAGCTAGTTCATAAACTCTACATATTCCCAGATTTCATTGTTACAGCAGGCAATAATATTCGGCTACCATTATTTGATTTTGCTACTTCTTCTCTAAACTCTTCAAGTGGTTAATTATCATCTTATTTTTACATGATAAATCAAACCTTCTTAAATATTTCTCCATTTTTAAAACTATTATTATTCACATTTCTCATCCTCTGGATTATCAGTATTTCCTTGATAAACTTCTGGATTATTAGATACTTGCTCCTCTTACAAATTTTCAGGAGGTTAATGACATCTACATGCATTACCCATTTCTTTAATATTTTGCTATTAATTTTTTTTATTTTCAATAATACATCACCTAATTTTCTATAAATTATATTTAAATCAAATCAAATTATCATAATATTGTATCAATCTTTAAATTATTTATATATATATATATATATATATATATATATATATATATAACTCTCATTGTTATTATATGGCTAATTAATATTCTTAATTTAAAAAAACTTTAACCAATTTCTAAAAATGTTTAATGTTATCAAATTTTACTATTCTCACAACTTATCTCTAATTATATCTTCATCTAAGATAATTAGAATAAATTTAACACAAACCTTAATTTCTATTTACTCATACAATTATAGTTTAAAATATAGATTTTTTATTAAATCTATTGAATCCAAAAGTTGAAATTAATTATAAATGTATCTTAAAAATATATTCATAAATTTAAAAATATTCGAATCTCTAACATTATGCTATTTTATTCAAATTAAAAATTATAATTATATTTTGAAGATGAATCTAACCATATAAAATGGAAAAGAATAAAGAAAAATTTTTATTTTTGCAATCTTAATAAATAAAAAGATTGCAGAATAAATTAAGTTGATATGATTGTTCTAAAGTTTGTAAAAAATATGAATTTATAATTAATTAAATGAAGCAATCTGTTCAAAGATATTCTGTAAAAATACCTAAACATGATATCATTGATAAAAAAGTATACTATATAATATGTGTATACAATTTGGAAGGTGGTTAACCAAAAGAGATAAAAAAAAGATATTCCGAATTAGAATCCATGCATTAAAAAATATTAGAGTGGATTCATATATTCAAAATAAAAATTCCTATGATACATTTTCCTAAGAAAAAGTTTTTATTTCATACAAATTAAAGCGAAGAAAGCATTATAAAACGAGTATTCTTTAAATTTATATAAAGAGAGGAGAATTATAATAATATCTGAATGAAATACTTGCCTGCTCAGAATTACATTGTTTAGGAGTAATAGAAGAAATGCTTCCTAAAGATCCTAAATAAAGCACTTAGAAAAAAAATGATCAGCCTATTGATAGAAGATGGCAAGAAATCTAATAACTAAAAGAATCTTATTTAGCAAAACACGGTGATTCAATATTTTCTTTGCCCCAAAAAAAAATTGAATAACAAAGCAAGTATTAAATCTTTATATTTCTAGATAGTAATATATTTTTAAGTTTGAAGATCATATTATTTTTGATGATTCTGTCTTATACACAATTCAAGTAACAGATACTATTACAAACAAAAGTTGGAAATTTACTCAACGTTTTCAAGACTTAAGAGATTATCATAGACAATTAAAAACCATCCATCTTGATTTTCCCTTACCAAATTTCCCTGAAAAAAAATTAGTTAATATATCTGATGCTTCTGATCTACGTGAGAGAAAATCACAATTAGAAGATTATCTAAATCGCATATTTGGGTATCAAATTAATATTACTAAAGCTATCAAACTATAGTTGAAAGTGATATTATGGTATTTTTTATTGCTAAAAGTTAACTTGATGGTAATGAAATTGGCTGTCGATCTAAGGGAACTTCTTAAACCACATTAGAAGTAATTACATATTTATATTAATAGAACTCTAGTATTAAATCGAAAAGCTAAACTACAATTGAATAATTTGATGAAGATCATAAATAACCTCGAAAAATAACATGTTGAATTCTTTTATTTTACTAATATGGTTTTAAATATATATTTAATCATTTAAACTATTGACATCATATTCATTCAAAAATTCACTTTATCATTATCTATCTTAAACATTACATAGCAAATCTAATCTATATGTCTTTATGTTTTCTCTATTAGTGAATATAAGAACTCCACTCTTAGATAACCTGATAAATTACTAATTTTAAAGGTTTTTATAAATATTAATAATATAACTATGAAATTATCATATGCACTTTATAATCACTTATCATCTTTAAAAGTGTTTGAAACTATTAAGCAAGCCAATAAAAATCCTATCATTTTAACAGAAGCTTAATAAAATTTGATTGAGAATGGAATTGCAGTAGGCAAGTTAGTTAAATCAATATACAATTTAAAATAAGAGATTTCATAAAGGTATTAAATATAAATATAATGAGAACTCTAACACCAATAGCTTAATTAGATTAGTTGAAACAATTAACCACAGCATCTACAAAGTTATATAATTGGAATATAATTATTGCTGCAATAAACTAATTGTAAATACCTAATGATATTAATACTGATATTAAAAAGTTAATACTAATGGGTGATGTTTAAGTAATTGAAGACATACTTAATTAATTATTTGATTATTATTTAAAAATTCAATAAGCCAGATTAAGTAAACCAAAGGCATCTCCAAACGTAAGAAATAGAATTTTATCTGAATAATAACCAGCAACTTAAGGATATAATCATTTAAACCTTAGTTAATCATAAGAATAAATTTAAATATCTGATTCTAATACTTTAGAATATTTTACATAATTACTTTCAAAATGGTTGAATTTGTAATACAAATAAGTTTTATCATTGTATGCAGAGAATTTTAAATTTTGGGCTTAAATTGTAACAAAAGGTGTTTAAAGAGTATATGAACCAATAATTTCAATTTATAAAGATATCTTTTCATCTGTTGAACATCTTTAAAATTTAATATCTATGGAAAAAGATAAAGCTTTAGGGTTTTCATTAAATCTCTTAAAACCAGGATTGGTATCAAAATCACCTGAAGTGTGTATTGAAACAATAAAAACCCTTGGAAATTTTGTTATATAAGCTTATAATAATAAAATTTCTTATTCAGAAGATATTTATAAATGGTATGTTGAATCATGTTTTTAAACAACACTTTTATCAATAAAAAGACATCCTTAATTAGTTGATTCTTTAGTAGATTTAATGATATTATTTTGTAAATTTCATTTAGTTGATCTTTTCACTTCAATTCTGAAATAACATAGTGCAAATAATATAGAGATGCTTATTAATGTAGAAAAACTATTTAATTCACTCACACCTGATTATATTTTAGAAATTTAATCAATGGGTATAATGTAACAATGGTTAGAATAAGGTTTAGAGATTCTTGAAAGTACCAATACTTTAAAATCGGATGAGAAAATTTGTATTTTAAGATTAATACACAATATATGGCTTAAAGCTTAATACTAATAACATTAAGAAAGAGTACATAATGTTTTTAAAACAGCTTCATAAGATCCAAGAGAATGTGTTGCTTTATTCTCAATATAGTTTTTATTTACTGCTTTAGAATATTTTGGAAAAAATAAAATTCCAGAAGCTCCAATTTTATATAAAATGTAAGAATTATTTTATAAAATAGAATTGCAATACAACTTGTAGAATTAAATAATGAAAATTTAGTTCATTTCATCCTATAAAATCTTTTAATAGTATTTTAAACTATACCATCAATTCCTTTGTCTATTGTTCTTGATCCATTTATTGTAAATCTATAAGAGAAAACATATCCTAGTTTAGTTGTATTTAATTTTCTTGGTAATGTTGCTAATAATCCAAATTTAACTACTAAATCATAAATATAATTAATGGATCTATTATCTAAAATAGCTATTTATGATACTTTACATTATAGAATTGCATCTTAAATATTTTTATAAATGGTTACTAATACTTAAAAAACGCCTAGTACATAAGAATTTGTACAAAAATTTGTTAAAATAAGTTTAGCTGTCTACTTTTCAGTACATAAAAAATCAGATAATAAAAAACCAAATCAATAAATTGTAGATAAATAAAGAAAAGCATAAATAATTGAAGTATTAAAAAGTTTAGTACAAATACAAAATTAAAATATTAATTAAGTTATTAAAGTTATGGCTGGTCATACTAATTTATAATTTAAAATGATATCAAAATAAAATAAAGGATTATAAGTTCTTCTTTCTTTATTAGGGGATATTAATGAAATTATGCAATAAGTAGAATTGGAATATTAAGAAGCTTAAACTAATAAATAAGCTTATTCAGAATCATCTGTTAAAGAAATATAATAAGTTTAAGGAAATTTAAAAAAATTCTCTAAAATTAAATTAACAAAAGAAGAACAATATCATTTAGCTAGATTGAGAATGCCAAAAGAAACTGATCCTAAAGTCATTAATGATATATCGACTATAAAAAAATAGTTTTAAGAAAAATAATTGGAAAAAGAAATATCAAAATTTGCATAAGATGAATAATTAAAATAGAAAAAAGAAAAATTGAGAAAATAATTAGAAAAAAGATAAATTGAATAAGGGATAGCATCTTTGAATTAGAAAGATGTTACCGTATAGTTATTATTTCCAGATGGTAGTAGATAAACTGAATTAGCTAAAGAAAAAAAACATGGTTTAGTTACATTTGATTTATTGGATCTAAATTTAGAAGAGGATATAGAAAAATTAATGGTTGAATAGATTCTTAGAAAATATAGTAAAGTACTTAGATATATTTTTACAAAGTATGCTAATACTTGCTTATAAGGTATGAAATAACCTAATTCTTTTGATTAATATCTTTAAAGGACAGAAAGTATTAATATTGCTGAAATAAGTAAATTTATTCATGATTATGAAATTGCAATATCAATTGAAAATGTTTAAGCTTTAGCAAGATAAGTTGGAACTTAAATATTGCATAGCAAAACTGAATTTAAAGAATTTGATTAAATAGGTTTTAATTAATTTGTAATTTAATTGTCTATTGTTTTATCTAAAAATAAATTAGCAGATACATAACCTTATTAATGTTTAATTAAATTTATTAATCATTTAAGAAATGTTACAGCATCGAAAGGATAAAGTACAGGTTTATTTGATGATCCAGAATCTTAATATTTTATGGAAAATGATGTACATTCCTTTATATATTTAGATAATTAAAGAATTCAATTAATAATTGCTCATAGATCCCAATTATGAATTACCATAAGGTTATAAGAAGATCACCACTTTTGAAATTTAATTTTCTTATGAAATCCCTTAACTTGATGAGAATTTCAAAATACCATATCAAATTTTGAATGATTTGTTAATAGATGCATTAGGGTAAATTTAATTTATATTAAATAGAATTAATATTATTGAACCAATTTCTAAAAAAGTAATTGTTTTCAAAGCAAAACCTGATGCTTTTGGATACATTTAATCTAAATTATAATAGGAACCTACAGATGATTAATTTAAAATTAAACATAAAAAAACAAAGGAAGTAAATACAAGTTTACAAAAGAAAAAAGTTCTTGAAATAGAACCTAAAAGAGAATGGTCATTAAATATGAAATTAGCTATTGCCAAATGCAATATAAAAGATAAATTTATAGCTGAAAATGTTGCTAATTTACTTGATGATATGTTATTTGCAATTGAACATAATAAATAATAAGCAACTAGATAAAATTAAATAATTAATAGAGTTTTAGAAGATAAAAAATAATAACAAATAGAATAAGAATAATAAGAGTCAAAAAAAGAATAATTGAGAAAATAAAGAGAAAAAGAAATTAAAGATAAATTAAAAGAAGAAAAAGAAAAATAGAAATAACTTCAAGAATCACTAGAAAAAGAAAGATAAGAAAAAAATAAAACAGAAAATAATTTAAAAAAGGAGTAATTAGATAAACGTATGAGTTATCTAACAGAATAAAAATAAAAAGTAATTAATTTATATTATGATAGATCAAAGAAAAAAATGATAAGGAAAAGGAAGAATAATTAAAAAGATTATTAGAAGAGAAAGATAAAAAGGAAAAAGAAATTAAAATGAAAAAACACAATTTTTAAGAATTTAATTAAAAATAAATAACAAAACTAAAAGAAATAATATCTTAAGGATAGAACAAGTAATAACAATCAGAAAAAGAAAAATAAGATTAATTAAAAAAATAATAATAATTATTATAATAAGCAAGATCAAAAATATTAACTCAGAATCAATCGAGAATTTAAGAATAAAAAAATTTAGAAAAAGAAATTGAGAATAAATATAAATCTGAATCATATTAGAAAATAATTGAAAAATATCAATTTGGATTGAATTCTCTTTTTTAATTCTTAATTAAAGAAACCTTCTTACCAATTGGATAACCATCTTCAAGAGAATAAATTAGTTTTAAAACTTTTGCTTGGTTTACCGATAGATTTAATTTATGTCCAGAAATTGTATCTAAAGATGATGTACTTTAACTTTTTAGATATTTAACAAGAGCCAAAGAAGTTATAGATGGAATTCCTCCAGGAATGAATTATGATGAATTTTTATAAGCATTACATAGGATTTCAATCAAAGGAAGTGTTATATTTAATAAAGTTGCAGTTAATTTAAAATCCTAAAAAGGGAAACTTGATATCAAAGTTATAAAATAGATTGTTGAAGCAGAATAAATAGTAGATTAGGAACCATAAAGTCAATCTCCAAAGGCAGTATCTATAGTGATTGATACTCCTTTAAGGAATAAATCTAAATCTAATTATCTTGAATCTTCCAAAGTTTTAAAAGAATATTAGTTATTTTTCCAGTAATCAAATGAATAAACATTTGAATCATTAATATTATACTTAGATGTGAGCAATGATAAAAACTAATTAGATTAAAGATTTAGAAAAACATTAGAGGAAAAAAAAGTTCCTACTAAATTAAGAAGAAAAAGTATTTATATTAGTTATTTATTTTAGTTTTGACAGAAAAACTTGGAATTTAAAATTGAAATTATAGTATTTTATAAAAAAATAATTTTATTTAAATCTTTATAAATCATCAAATCAAATATTTCTTCAAATAACTTTAAAAAAATTTATATTTATATAAGACTTAATTTTAAGAAAAAGCTTTTTAAAATTAGAGATATTGAAAAACTTGAAAATATTATGATTGCTTTAAAATATTAAAAAAATAATAGAAAACCTAAGACTTTTACAAAGAAAAAATCTTTTCTTCTAAATTATTTAATCATAAATGAATCTATCTTTTAGAGATTTATAAATTTTGACAAATTATATAAAAAAAATAGGTTAAATCTAACATTTTATTAATTAATAATAGACTTAATTAATAGATATTCTAAATTTAAAAAGCTTAGAATAACTGATGATATAACATAGGATTTAAAAATTAAATTATAGTAATAAGATAAAAAAGTAAGAAAATGGGAGCAAAAAGTAGAATGAAAAAAAAAATCTTTTATAAAATATTGTTATTACACGAAATAAAAATTCTAAATAATCAAACATAAATGATTTAAATAACTGTTAATTGAAATATAAATAAATCAATGCAAAAAAACTTACAATAGATTTGATTTTATAGTATTCCAAAAGTAATTATGTATAAATTATTAATCTAGAGCTGTTTTTTTAAATCTTTGATAAATGATAACGAATTTATCTAAATTTAAACATATATTAAATCTAGTATCTTTTAATTCTTTAAAAACTTTTTCTAAGATATCAAATAAAATAGTAAATATTTTTTATTGGGTATTTTTAGTACCACAAGAAGATAAAAGTATAATTATTTGGTTATTTTAGTATTGTATAAAAGAATAAATCAACAAATAGATTTATGAGCTGATTTTAAGTTTTAAAAGCATATAATTGAGAAAATAAACAATGGTTCTACAAATAACCATAGAATGATGGAAATGAATAATGTATAAAAAAAACGGATTTATATTAGTTATTAATTAAATTACCATGAAGTTGGTCATCTTGATTCTGATTCTTACAATATTAAGTACCTAAGCTCAAACATCACTTAGAGGAAAGAACAAATTTGGTATGGTTGGCCATAATTAAGACTAGAGTAAAACGATGAATTAAAAAAAATAAATAATGAATATAACTCAGAACTATAAGAATATTCATTATTTGTGCAATTAACTAAGCCATTTTATGACACAGCACCGATGGATGTAATGTTGCTAAACCATGAAATGGAAATAGCTAGAATGATGGGCTAACCAGGAGTAACTTCGATGAATTATGTACTTGAAGAATCGCCATTTAGTCCTGCTTGGTGAAGAATTTTAAAAGGCTTCATTTGATATTTCCTATTTCATTATAGAATCAATATCGCAAAACAACCTTATATTTAAACTGCGTTAAAATCAGTTTATTATTATATTTATTACTTAAGGAAAGGATTTTATCCAATGATTCAAGATAAATCATTTATTTTTTGTATTTTATATATTTGCTTATTATTATGAGCTAAAATTTGCTTGAATGAATAAAAACCAATATTTATTCAAATAATATAAAAAAAGTTAAATAACAATATATAAGTGATAGATAAACTATATTTTAGATAAATGTATTTTGTGTAAGATAAAATTATTCTGTATAATGAATAGTTAGAAAAGGATCCTATAATATTATATACTTTATTTTAAGTAAATTAAAAAAAAAGTAGTAAAAATTGTTAATAATTTTTAAAGGAGTTCAACGTTATTCTAAAATAAAACTTAACTTAATCTATTTTTACTTGTAATTATTTATTTTATTAGTATTACAAGTTTTTATAAATGATATTGAATTATTTTGAGTAATTAATCAAGAAAATAATATTAAAAATATTTATGATATATAAGAAATTGATATTGGAAATAAGAAATTTCATAATATAAAAAAGAGAAAATTTTGAATTTGGAAAGATGTTTGAATATTAATTAGAGTTATAAGTGAAAAACCTTATAATCTATAAAAATATTATAATTATAATGTTGTTAATATTTATTGATTATTTAAAATGAATAATAATATAAGATAATAGTTAGCATAAATGAATAAAGGGTTTGATAAAAAAAGAACTTCTTCATTTAATAAATAAACAATAAATTACACTTATGATAGATGTGATACTTAATAAAAGTAATTTTATTGTCCAAAATCAAAAAAAGATGTGAAGAATATGATAAGTGATAATAAGTTGAAATCATCATATGAGAATACAACAGTAATGATGCCTTAGAATGTTTCATTGAAAAATATGTTAACAGAGTTAGCTCATAAATCTGCAAAGAAATATATAAAAAAACATATGAAAAAAACTCCGAGTACATCTTTACATACTCCTGCTGATTTTACTATAAGGAAAACTGAATAGTAATCATACTTAATGAAGCAATAATAATCAGTTATACATTAACAATCATAATAAACTTCTTATAGATCTTTATTATAGCATAATAAGGGTAATTAATGGATTGATATGATTAATCAAAAGAGTTCAAATTATATATAAACAGATTAAATATCAACAACAGAATACAAGTACAAATATGTTAATTGTTAGAACTTAATTAGATATAATGTAAACAAATAATTTAGATTGGAAGCATCCATATAGATGTTAAAAAGAGTGTAGAAATAATGTAGAGATATCACATATAGAAAACTTAGAATTTGATTGTTGGAAAGAGCTTTTGATGAATAGATTAATATTACGAAAAAGTAAATGAGTTTAATTAGTTAATTTTGGGTGAACTTATTATTGTGAATAATTTAAAGAATTTTTATTCTGATATATTGTAATATATATTATTTCTCAAATCTCCAATTTAAAATAAAATTTTTAAATAAATTAAATGTCTGACGACGAGAATCAATTCGAATAAGGAAATGCTGGATCTTCTCACACTTATACTGAAAGTGCAGGATCATTAAAGAAAGGAGGCTATGTAATGTTGAAAGGACATCCTTGTAAGATTACAGATGTTTCAACATCAAAAGCAGGAAAGCATGGTCATGCTAAAGTAATTAAATAATTATTAAATTTAGGCATCAATTGTTGGAAAGGATATCTTTACAAATAAAACATATGAAGATTCAGCTCCAACATCTCACAATATTGATGTTCCATTTGTTACTAAAAAGGAATATACTTTAATGGATGTTTAAGGTGATGGATTTGTCATTCTTTTGAATGAAGATGGATCAACTAAGGAAGATCTTAAATTACCAGAAACAGAAGATGATTTCAAATTGGTTTAAGAAATTAGAGATTAATTTGATGCTGGCAAGTATATATATATATAAATATTTTAGGGATTTATTAATTTCTGTCCTTTCTGCTATGGGAGAAGAGAAAATTGTTGGTTGTAGAGAAGCTTAAGATAAATGATTTACATTAAATACATTAGTAAATATTTTATTGTAAATATATTATCATTCATTTGATACATCTTTAAAAAATGGATGTTTTAAAGCATCTTTAGCATTGATTCTCTTCTCAGGATTATACTATAGCATTGAACTAGATATCAATCAACTATATTTATACTTTAATAAATCCAGATAATTATCTAAATCTTTTATTTAACTAAATTTTTCTTTTAGATTTTATTTTTTATATCTAGCCAATTCTTTAAATATCATTTTATTTTCAAAAGGAACTTTATTTTAAAAGTATTCTATATCACTAGAATTAAAACTTCCCATCACTTTTAATATTGCAAATAATTGATCTCCTTCACTCTTTCCTTTAAAAAGAGCTTCTTTTATTACCAATTCACCCATTATACAACCTAATGCCCAAATATCAACTGAAACTCCATATTTAGTTAAACATAATATTAATTCAGGAGCACGATAATATCGAGATACTATATAAGGAGTATTCTATCCTTAATTTGTAATCAATTTAGAACTTCCAAAATCACATAACTTTACTACATCTTTATTATTTATCAAAATATTCTCACTATTCATTTAAGTATTTATTATTACGGTTTTAAATCTCGATGAGCTATTCCTTTTTTATGAATAAACTATAATCCTTTTAAAATCTAATATATATAACATTTTATTGTCAATTCACAAAATGTCTTTCCTTATTTTATAAATGTTTAAATTCTATTTTCAAGATTATCTTCCATATATTCAAACACAATATTTTAAATTAATTTCCCCGCATCTGTTCTTGAATAGAAAAAATCCTTTCTCTTAAATTAAATTCATACAAGGATTTTAACTATGTGTTCACACTCTTTAACTTCAAATAAAATTTCATATTCTCTACTTAAAAGAGTTCCAACCTTTTCAATTCTCTTTAAAGCAACTTTCTATTTTCTATTATGATCATAAGCTTCAAATACATAACCTACTCTTATTTAAAATACTTACCAAAGCTACCTGAACCAGCAACTCTTATGATATCAAAAGAAGGTAATTTTTGATTTATCAAACTCATATAATTTAATTTACTAATTCTATTTTATTATAATTCATAGATGATTACTTTTTGAATAGTTAAGAATCTCATAAATTTCATAATATATACATAAAAAGAATTTCATTTTAATTTATGTTCGTACCATTTTCTCAGATTCAATGATTTTTATTTTGCTAAATAATTAAAAGTGTATTTTCCAGATTCTTTATATCTATTTTTATACTATTTTTAGCTGTTTATTAAATCAAGACCTTTAATTACATTATGAAAATTATTATGTGGCATATACTCTTAATAAATTTTGATTTAATCAATATTAATATGATGGAATTGTAACTTTGTTTAAAATTCTTAAAGCATATCCTTATTTTATTCTTTATATAAAGATTCTTCACCTTAAATGAGAAACTTTGAAGGAGTAGTTTTTTTTTTTTCAAAATTATCTTTAGATGTAGCAATTTAAATCTATTTATCAGAAGGTAACATTTCTTTTTCAGAAATCAAGGTATTTGAAATTGATATAATTTAATGAGGTTTCTTTATTGATTTTTTTCTATAATTAATTCTACTGATGTAATCAGGAGACATATATCTAGATTATTCATCATCAGAATTAATATAACATTCAGATTAATATCTATTTAGAGAATCTTAAATAGTTGTCAACATTCTTCTTGTATTAATTTTATCACCTTTCCTATGAAATCCTGTTCTTTTTTGTATATTTTTCATAATTGTTGATTTCTTTATTATTCCTTCAATATCAGGTTGATAAGTGAGTAATGGACAATTAATATTGAGATGGGAACTTCTATTACATTTATTACAATTAAGTAATATAGAATTATAGTTTTAATACAATAGAATCTTATCTTTGATATGATTAAATCTTTCCATATCTTTTTTTTCATCTTTTATCAATTTTAAAAAGTTTGATCTATGAATTTATACTACTTCACTTGATGTTCTACTCAAAGCACATGTTTTTGTTGGAAATCCTGTAAAAAATTAATATTCTCCAAATGTCTATCCTTTTGTTACTGTTTATATAACTTATTAACTCTATTCTTCACATATATCAATAATTCCTTCCTTTACAAAATATCTCTAAATATACTATAATCATTACAAGGATTAATCGTCAATTTCATATTAATGATAAATATACTCTTCTGGTTAAAACAGTAATCGATTCATTTTTTAAGTCAATGCATTTTATGTTAACTTCGAAAATTAATCTGAAAATATTTTAATGTTTCTCATTATTTTTTCAGATATATTTTAATTAAGTTCATATCTTAATCCTTTTGGTAATTCAGATATAGTCTTATTAATAAACTCAATCTTTTCATAATTCATATTTGTCATTTTATGTTTTAAATAATTTCGAATTCTAAATTATAATGACAAATCAACTGAATTATGATTCATATAATTATTTAATTACAATATTGAACGTCTAAATTATTATAAATTTTAAAACTTACTTTTAATTTTTATTTTGTTCATAAAGATTTCTTAATATAATTCCTATCGAATTCATTGAATAAGCAAATAAAAAACTAGAAAGTAACATCATTAAATTAACAAATAACATCTCTCCTTAATTTTCAGGAGTAATGTCTCCATATCCTACAGTAGTAATTGTCATTGTTGCCCAATAAAATGATGTATTATATCTAATCCAAACAGATTCATGTCTTATTTATCTTTAAATCAACCATGTTTGTTCATCAGTTTCAGTAATCACTCCTACATAATGAAAAAGACAAGCCATAAAATGAGCAAAAAAATATATAGATAAAATTAATATTAATAAATCTGCTGCATTACTTAATGTATGTTTTAAATATATATTTTCCATTTTTGTATTGGTTCTCTTTAATTTTATTAACACAATTATGTTTTACAAAATCAATAATACTTATTTCGATTAATTAAATTCTTTAAGAATGTTAGGGTAAATACCTATCCATAACATCAAAGAAACTATTTCAAAAATTGCATATTTGTTAACATATTAATTGATAATTTATCTTCTATCTACTATTACTTCACCTTACTCAATATATGCTCTATTAATTGCCAATATATTATCTATTATTAAATGTACTATTAATCCTATTATTATTTTTGGAAATGAATAATCATCAAAAGAAAAGCTTAAAAGAAATGGACAAATCCATAGAGCTAATATACTTGCTAATAAAGTTATTAGATCCCAAAAATACAAAAAAAGGTTTTATGGCAATAAAATTGAAGATTTTAATTTACTTTAACCATATTCTATCTTAATATATCAAAATTTATACTCTACAAAAATCTTAATACTTGAGGCTAAATATATTTTTCTTATGATAAAATTTTGGTTTTCAATCCATTTGGAAGTATATATGAGTTGAAAAACAAATTTTATTTGAATTTTTATATTAATCTATTTTTTCTAACAAGTCTCATAAATGCTTCATTTTCATCAACTCCTTTAGGAATAATCTTTTCCTCTGACTTGTGTTAATTATTGAATGACGTATTTATAATTCTTGTTAATCTTTAAAACCTCTATTTACTTACAAAATAACGATTAGTTTAAATATGAGGACTTTCAATTGATCTCACAGACTCTTAAGACTCTAAAGGTTGCTTTTAATATTAAGTTAAATCAGGAATTTAAGTAACTTAAGGGCCAAAGATTTGTTATTCTAAAATAACTTAATCTTCGATCATTTATAATTAATGTTATATATTTATTATTGCTAATAGTTACCAAAAATAAACAAATTAACAAACCTCATAAATTTAAATTATCTCAACTATTTCAATTTTATATCACTTCTAAAATTTGTTTATTTAATATAAAAATTTTTATAATTCCATTGAACTTTTAACTAATTTAAAAATGGGCTGCTCTATAAGAAAATCGAAACCAAAACAAAGGGATGATATAGATTAAATAGAACAATTGATATAATCAGATTGTTTAGGTATGGAGTAAAATTTTGTCCTTGTAAAAAATCCAATTGTAATGAGAAGAAATTATAGCAAAGAAATACAAAAATTATCAGATTCAAAACATATATGATTACTGATTTATATACTTTTCTTTCTGTATATAGTAATACTTTTTAAACTCATTCTATTATCCTAAAAATAGCTTGATTTATTTAAATCTAGTAATCTTTTCCAAGAATTTTCTATATCAAATAAAGATATTTTCGATATTGAAATACATAAATAATATATTGAACCTTTTCATTAAACTTTTCAATTATGGCAGTAACCTTCAATATTTTATATTATCAATCAACAATTTCATGTTTTATTATGTCTTAAAATGATGGATTCAAAAAGTATTTTTAGAACTATTAAGTGTTTATAATTATGTGATATTATTTTTTTAAAGACTTTGAATTGTTTTTAGAACATATCTTTAAAAATATGAGTATTAATTTTATGAGAGTGATACTGTTTAAAAAAATACTTAAAATACAAATATTTTAATACAAATTTAAATCATTTCTAAATAACTATGAAACAACTTTAAACTTAAATATAATAATAAATGTTTCTTATAAATGTTTTGGTATATTTTACTATAGTAATATATTTGAAAACATAAAATTTTATAAATTAATTTATGCTAAAATCTATTCTAAGAGTTTCATACAAAATAGGAATTAATTCATGTACTTTTTAATAATAATAAAGAATTATAGTAATTACCCATTTATTCATCAGCTCTTTAAGCATTATTTTAGAATGAATATGGATAGGCACAAGAATATTTATAATAATTAAAATAATAAGTAGAAAATTTATAGGACCCAAATGCAACATAAGAAGTCTTAGATTTATTTGTTTAATTATATAAGCAAACAAAAAATTACAAAGATTTAATATCAATCTAAGAAGAATAATTTTTTACTTATCTGTCTATGAATTCTATTTATAATGAAGATAATTCAGAATCGTTAAAAGAATTATTTAGATCTTATATTGAATTTGATCCAAAAAGAGGGCAAGCAATGTTATAATTTTTATAAGAGAAAGTTGATGAAATAATCCCATTAGGATTTTAGAAAGAATTTTTCACATATGGAGGAGTAAAGATTTGAAATATATCTATAGACATTAGAATTACTTAATAAAAATTATGAAAATTCTTAAAAATTATTTAGTAGTGCTTAAGATTCAGGAACAAAGGGTAATTTAGCAGGTTTATTTTATTATAAATAATTAGGAATGTGTTTAAATAATTAAGTTATCTTATCTGAACTAAATTTAGATGGAGAAATATAGAAATTAAAAGGAGATTTTAATGCCTTTTGTTAATAGAATATAAAGAATCTGTTAGATGCAATAATTGCATTTGAATTAAATTCTGTAGAAGAGAATAAAAAAGAACTTTATTATTTATATAAATTAATTGAATAAACTGAAGTAAAAAATAGAATATAAATAATAAGTTATATATTGATAAGAAAGAGATAAATGCAATTATAAATGGAACTTAAATTATAAATCCAAATTCTTATGCAGTAATATTAAATTTGATAGATTTATTAATTAATCATTAATATCCAGATGTAATATAGAATTTATAAATTATGATAGAAAGCTACTGCTTGGATTAAAGTTATTTTTAAAAATAAAACATAGAATCCTAATATGAATATAAAAAGTTTTGGAAGATCCCTATTGTAATATGCTAAAATATCAATGATTGATAATAAGATTAATTAAGCTGAAACAATTCTTTTGGATTTTTTAAACAGTCAACAACCTAGACTCTCATTTTTGTAGATGATGGGTTTAACTCAATATAGTCTATTATTAAAAACAGAAAATAGATAATATGAAGCAGATTGTAATCTTTTAGAATTATTTAGAATATGAAAAATAAGCATTAAACATTTCATCAAAATTAAGTCCAACATCATATATTAGAGAATAAATTATATTATTATGAGTTTTAAATGTTTATAGATTATCATTAAAATTTATTAATTATATTTGTAGTATATTAAATAATACAAAAATAATAGTATCAATCAATTAAATATAATAATTAATTGATATGAACTAATACTTAGTTTAAAAAACCCATTCGACTTTTGTTCTTTTTTTGAATTTCTTGTTTTCTTTTAATAAAACTATGTTGATAGAAATCAGTTAGCTTAATTAAATCATAAATGTAATGTCCTATTAATGATTTATAAAGTAATAAAAAATCTGAATGTTAAGGATTCCATAGATCACATTATCCCCATGGATACTGTCTTCCTTATATCTTTTTACCTTAATCATTATAAAATTCATAAGTAGAAGCAATAATCATGAAAGGAGAACATTATCCAAATTCCCCTTGGATAAGTTATTGTTTAAACGATTAATCATTAATTTTGAGACAATCATAGATATCAATATTGAATTCTTTAAAAATTCTATTGTATCTTTATTTTAATTCAAGAACTTCTGATTTTGTATATTAATCACCTCTGGCTATAATTGGTATAACATTTACTAAGTTGGATAACTTTTGTAAATATTAAATATCTTCATTAATATATGCAGGTCCACTAAGAAAGTAAAGACATAAATGAATCTATAGAATACTTAAAAAATTGATTACTCTTTCGTCATTTACTAAATTAGACATTTAAGAATACAATGTTTTGTTTAAATAAGCATATTTATTTCTTCTAATTTAAGTTTTAAACTTTAATAAACAATGCAAAATACCTTTTAATCTATAAAATGTCTAATATCCTTAAACCATACTTTTTAGTTATTTTTTTAAAACCCTTTTGTGTCGAAAATGTTTAAATAAACAATTTGATTATCATATTCTATTACACCCATAGATTCTTAAACTTGATTACTTTAATAAACATTTCCCTAAAATTATCTTGCTATAGGTTTCTATATAATAAGTTTTTTTATATTTTTACTTTATTTAGTAAAGCATCAACAAATGTTGTTTTTCCTGTTCCAGATTGACCAACAATCAATAGATTTAATGTTACTTGATTCTTCTATGATTAACAATCTAATGAAAATTCATTTTTGTCAATTTATGATTAAGTATATGAACTTAAAAGTAATGGATCTTAAAATTCTTTAATATCAATTTTTGCGCTTGGTATCCTTATTTCTTCTTATGAAGAGATAGGAAAGATAGATTTCCTTCAAGATTATTTCAAAAGTTACGTAGTATGACTGTTATCAAAGTCAATTTTTTTACGATCGCTTTGTGTAAATAAGAAACGTTATTACATCCATTTACTTTAGATATTTTCATCATTTGTATGATACTTTTAAGGAATAGGAGATGGACTTGAGAATAGATCAATCATTTTATTGTATTTTATTTTATTTTCAAAATAACAATCATATTATAAAAATTACATAAAAGGTTATAAATTGATGATAATAAATTCGGTTTATTTTCTTGATATTACATACTAAAAATATTTACAAAACAAAAAAACTTAATGGGATGGAAGAATAATAGAAAAAAATAAATTAAATAAAAAAATGAATAGATTTAGATTGATTAAGAATGATTATAAGAGAAAATTTAAGAATGATTATAAGAGAAAATTTAAGAATGAAATATTTAAATTTTATATGAATTCAATAATTTCTAATTCTTTTGATTGTTGGTTATGATTTATCGATAGATTTTTTTCTACCTCTTGTTTTTTATTTATCATTATGAAGAGATGTTTTAGCATCAATTTCATAATCGATTCTATCAACTTTTTTTTTTTTCATTTTATCAGTACCATGAAGCATTGAATTTAATTTAGGTTATCCTTTATATTTGAATTATGCTTCCTAATATTCAGGTTTAAGTTCTTATTAAATTTAACATTTCGTTTTTCCTGTATATGGACAACAGAATTCTTAATTACAATTGTTAGGTTATGATTATAATAAGAAATAAAAACAATGATACCTATATTTCATAGAAATTGATAAACTTTTATGATTAAGCTTATTTTAAACACAATCTAAACATAAATATTCTTCATTGTCATGATAAAAGTATAGAAATATTTCATGTTCACATTTAGAGCATAATTATACTTCTTTACAACATTCAACTAATTAAGAAGATGGTGGATCAATAGTATGTAATTTTCTATTTTCTTAATCAAAAAAGTTCTAAAGTTCTAATTAAATTCTTTCAATAGTCATTTAAGATAGAGATTTTTCATGAATATATAAATCTAACATTAAATTTTTATATGGAATAACAGTTCTATAATTAATTTCCTTGTTTAATTTATGTCTTTCACTCATAGCTTCAAGTGTCATATCATCTAAAGCAACTTGATTCCAAGCAGTATTAATAGTTTAACCTAATGATTTAACCCAATGTAAACAACCTGCACCTAATATAACAACATCACCTTTCTTTTATAATGTATATCTAAATGGTATTCCATATTTTAAAAAGAATTCTGGTTCTTTAAACCATAATCCTTCATTTCTGAATATATCAGTATCATATAATTCTTATACTTTTTATCTTAATTTCTAAACATTCTCATTATCAACTGTAATCCAAACACAATCTGCTGGACCATGATTTATATTTATTGCATTTACACTTAAATTCTCTTAATGTCCACCTGTCCATACTCCTTCTGTTTTTATATATATTTAAGGTATATTTACACCATCAATCTCTTATCTTAAATAACTTAAACCATCATTCTCTCCTTACGGTCTTAAACATTTTGGTAAAAACTATTTTAAATGATTTATTTCTTTATCCCAACCTTACATATTTACATTTACTGCAAATAATCTTTAATCTGCTTAAAGTCCTTCCTTTTTTATAAATTTCTATGGATCATTAAGATAATCTACATAATCCATTATTTTCATTCCTTCTAATTATTAATTTATTTTGCATGGTAAAAATGAATCATATCCAGGTTA